CCTTTTCACACCTCATTAGCTTCTACTGCATCAAGCCATTTGAAAACTATACTAATTAGTCCATATGCTTAGGCTTAGCTGACAGCTTCTCATTAACATTCGATCCTTGCTCAGAGGGCTGCTCTCTCTAAAAAAGGTCAACAATGGACAGCCATTTTAGAATATTGACCTTCCATTTAAATGCTATTTATGTTACAAGAACACTGGGTAGCTTTCGCATCCATACAGTCTCAGAGTCCTGCTGCTGCCGTCTCTGAGTCAGCACAGCTATAAAGGGAGCAGCCGTGCCGTTTTACATTTGCTCTCTGCTTACCCAGGAGCCTGTGTCTTGCTCAAGACGCCAGTGTGGGTCAGCCATTGCTTCTTTATCCCAGAATCCTTTCTCCTGATACCCGTAACACTGAACAGTAGCTCATTCAGTCTGCAGCCTTCATCTTGGGAGTGGCTTCAAAATGTTGAGGTTCTGGCCACAGTATGTAGCTGAATGTGCACTTTCACACACTCACACTCACTCTCTTACATGCTGAATTCACACCTAACAACAAGCCATGTCTGCATGATTTCCAGCATGGCTTGTAGTTATGTATGAACAGAGCCAAAGTGTTAAGCATCAGGGCCGCAGAAACAATCTCCATTTTATTCCCATTATCAAGCCAGAACTTTGGTTAAGTGGGATTGAAATGACAAAATGCATATGCTCAGAATATCTTTTTTAAAGCAATAATGGTGTATGAGAAGAAATATGATAGTTGTTCGCTTCATTATGAAAGTAATACATGTAGCCATCCAAAGGACCTCCAGGAAGTCCAGGGTCTACTAATAACTTATTGTGGTTTCCTCAAAGTAACATATATATTTTAATTTGTTCTGAGTGTGGATATTTGTTAGAAATCCCAAACTTGACTCACATATTTTTCCCCCAATCAGGAAGAAAAAAATCATTTAACAATCATTCCAAAAGTCTTTCCAAATGGGGTTTTCACTGTGCATCTGCACTGTGTCGTATGCATGGAATTTTCAGGGTAGCCAGAACTATTATTCCAACTTTTAACTTACGAGGTGAAAAAGTGTTTGAGGAAATGACAAAATAGCCGCACTGTGTCTTTTGACTGACAGCATTAGGAGCCCTCAATTTGGAAACACCCCAAATCTTTGCTGGATATAATATGAAATGGTCTTAACAGGAAGAGAACAATGGAGCAGCTCTGGATTAAGGATAGCCAAATCAATTCTACCTTGGGACAGATGAAGTTGTAACAAGCACTACTGACACATTTTGGCAATTCATTCCTACGGTATCACTCATTCCATTATAAAGGTCAAAAATTAAACCTTGCATGTAGCCAGTAGAAGGTTGGCTGGCTTGACCTCACATGCTTCCCATGGGACAACTACTTGCAGGGATAGGAGAAAGATGTCCAAATATGACAGGGCATGAGCTTTGGAGAAAATAGGAATGCTGCATTTGCTCCAGCTGGCATTCCAGAGCTTTTCATTTTATGCAGTCTTTTGCGATATTGCATGATACAATCATTGGAAGATTTGAAATAAGTAGGCATAACATACTGGTGTGAACACTTTTTATCTATTGATGTCCCAAGGCAGTTGCCTTTCAGTTTATTCACTGTCTCTCTTTACTGAGCAGCTGCACTTAGGGTAGAAACCTTAACCCTGCAAGCTGGCTACAGACTATACAAAGTGGCCCCGTACATCTGTTACAGATGCATTACAAATCGAGGAGGATTCCAAATAATTTTAGAGACTAACATGTGAAACTGCTGAAAGCCATAGACTGGTTTTTAAAGAGATACAATCAAAAGTTGCAGAACGATTTGAACCAGTTTTACTTGTAAATGTAGGCTATTCATCATGATCCAAGGAAAAACAGAGTGTGGTAGAAAGAATTTACAAGAAGAGCACCATCAAGAATGGACAGGGAAAGAAAAATACTGTGAATGCCTGGCTATGAAGGTGGTGCAGATGTGAAAGATTTGGATTCTGGGACCATGGAAGATAGACTGCTAGCAAGGGATGGACTGCACCTTACAAGGACGGGAAAGGTGTTTGGCCACAGCAGGAGAAGTTTATTAGAAGGGCTTTAAACGGAACCCTACAGGAAAGAGTGAAGTCTCCTGAGCGTAACAACAGTCAAAGGCTTATGCAGCACAACCGAGGGTGCTTTAATAAAAATAGTGCTCAATAATAACTTTCCAAAAATGTAGGAAGAAGTTTGAGTATAAAGCACGTAGTCTTTGATGTCTATCCACTAATGCCTGGAGTATGGGAAACAAACAGCATGAACTTGAACTCTTAATATATACAGGAGGGTGAATAAGATCTGATAGGTGCAACTGAAATTTGGTGGGATGAATCCCATCACTGGAATTCAACAATTGATGGATATAATCTGTTCAAGAAGAACAGAAGGAACCAAAGGGAGGTGGAGTTGTGTTATATGTAAAAGATCTCTGCAAAGAAATGCAGGAGGATGTGCTTAGTAGCCCCATTGAGAGCATCTGAATTAATATTAATGGAGCAAGAAATAAAAGGGACACACTGGTTGGAGTCTATTACTGACAACCTGTCAATGAGAAGAAGATGAAACTTTTGAAAAGCAAATTGCCAGTGTTTCAAGGAGGCATGATGTTGGTGTAGTGGTTAAGAGCATGGGACTGGAACTCAGACGATCTGGGTTCGAGTCCCCACTCGGCCATGGAGCCAACTGGGTGACTTTGGGCCAGTCACAGACTCTCAGCCCAACCTACCTCACAGGGTTGTTGTTGTGGGGATAAGATGGAGGAGGAGAATGATGTAAGCTGCCTTGAGTCCTTTGAGGAAAAAGGCAGGATATAAATCGAAAAATAAATAAATAAAAATAAAAATAAATAAATAAATGATGTTGTCATTATAAGGGATTTCAATTTCCCCATTATCTGTTGAGAGACAAATTTTGCCAAACACAGTCTTTGCCCTCCAAGAGATTCCTAAAATGTTACTGATAACTTCCTCCAAAAGGAAGTGGAGGAAGGAAACAAGAGGAATGGCTATCCTTGACTTGATACTAACCAACAGGAAAGACCTAGTGGAGAAAGTGGCAGGTACAGGAACTCAGGGGCAAAGTGACCATGTCATACTTGAATTCCTGATTCTAAAGGAAGCAAAAGCCAATGTAGCCAAACATATACCCTGGGTGTCAAGAAAGACAATTTTAATAGACTCAGTACAGTGGTAAGGAAAATCATAAATACCAATCATAAAGCATTGTGCAGCAATTAAATCTAACTCCCCAACTGATTTTCTGCGGTCAGAAAAAAAATAAGGATGGAAGCAGTTGCAGAAAAATGAGGGTTACAAATGGAAGACTGTTACATCTGCAGTCCCAGTAAAATTCTGTGACTGGTATTGTAAGTATCATTTGGAAGAACCTAGCAAATGTCTGTTTAATTGGCAAAGGTGAAATTATTCTGTTCCTATTATTGGGCAGCATTTGTACTGGAAGAAAATAGTAAATTAACTACAAATATTATTTAAACAGGCAGTAAAAGATTTTAGTTCAGTTAACATGAAAGCTTCAGTGTTCATCCTGGATACAACCCAGACACATACAATAGGCTTGTACTATCCCAATTGATTGCATTACTTCCTCTGAACAACCATGATGAGCAGCCAAAAAAAGCCCACAAACAAAAAGGCAATACCCAACTCTTACTTCTGCTCCCAAACAACTCTGATTCAGAGACATGATGCCACTAAACCTGAGGGCAGATCAGCCACCAATAGCCCTCATCTTCCATGAATTTGTTCAACTCTCTCTTGAGCTCATTTAAGCTAGTGACTGTCACATTCAAATACAGTAAATTCCACAGGTTAATTATGAAGTATTAGGAAGTTGTACTTTTGTCTCTTCTCAGTTTCCCTCCATTCAGTTCCTCCATGTTTTTAAAATGTCTGACAGAGGAGTACAGAAAAGCTGAACAACCAAATTAGGTGTTAACTACCATATAGTTATGCCAGCTTACATGAATAAAAAGACTTATTGAGTTGTTCCATTCTTACATAAAGATCAGAGAGCTACACATTACTTTGCTCCAGTGTTTTGTTCTATTCTAGATAAACTGGACCAAAAAAAAAAAAAAAAGGTAGCCAGTGGCATATATTCCAGAATTAAAAGAAGCAGGCTCCAGTGAATAGCTTGGGATCATGTAATGCAGAACTTGAAAATCCTGCAAGATGTTTTAGGATGGAGCAGATTACTGAACATTTCACTGAGTTTAAAAGGCCAGGAATGTATATGCTTTGCATCCACATGACTGAAGTATTTTGGGAACAGAATTTGTCACACTGAAAATCTGTGCTTTTCTTTTTAATGGAAAGCAAGTTACATAGGAAGGACCATAATTCAGTAGCAGATCATCACCTTTGCAAGCAGAAGGTTCCAGGTTTAATCCCCAACATCTCCAAGCAGGGCTGGAAGAGATTTCTGAGATCCTGCTCAGCTGTTACCAATCCATTCTCCTAAAAGATACCCATATCTCTTTAAAATAAGACAAGTCAATAAGCTAGATGGACCCTTTGGCTGACTCAGCATAAGGCAGCCTCCTATGTTAAAAAGATCAATTTTTCCATGTGTGCCCACATACTTTCAAATCAAAAAGCTGAAACAGGAAGAGATAACAGGCTGAAACAGAAGAAGTGTTAATAGTCCAGGAGTGGATTTTCAACTTCCTTCAACTTCCTTGTCTCTTCCCATAGCTGATAGAAGTACAATATGTTGTGTAAAGCAGTATATTTCAAATATGCCATAGATACGTACAACAGAGTTTTATTGGGCAAAATGCCGGGCAGGGGCCTGGGAAAAAGGCAGTCCCTGAAGCCTGAGTCTGATGCTTCTCCCCATCTTTCAAACCATCATTAAGCCCTTGGTACACCAATATTGCCACATATAAGCATTTCATAAAAGGTGCAAATGTGGAAAAAATTGATACACTGAGCCACAAAAATGTATCTGAATACAGTGTTTTATTGAATATGATTGCTTAATTATGCTTGGATCCAACACAGCCTCTGGCAGAAATTTACACCTACTTCATAATTTTAAAACATCTTAACATTACGTTTGTGGTAGCTTTGGCACTTAAAGCATACCTTTTTGTTTAAACCAGAGAGATTAAAAATAATAAATGTTCATGTCCTTTATCATTTGACAAGTACACTTCCCCTGTGTGATGTCCTTAAAACAGTGACCAGAAAACTAGCAATTGCAGCCCAGTTAAATGTTCTTAGAGAGTCTTTTCTTGCCCTCTAGTTTTTGCCCATTTTCATTCTACATCATTCTACATCAGCAGGAAGAGTCCTCTTCTAAGAAAAAGAAACACTCTTGCTAATGCTGAAAGGTACTAGCAGAGATTACATTTTCTTGGTTTTTCCCACATTTGTTTTTGTACAAAAATAGCTGTTGTCTTTGAATATAACCCAAGTGTTTAACAAATATTGGTGATTTAGTAATTGCCAAGACAGTCAAATCTTTCTATGAAGGCAACTATTAAGTAAACCCAAAGTGGTTTCTCCAAGTATTTCTTGTTCAATATGACCAAGCCACATTTTGTGTAATGACCTACTAGAGTAACCAATCCCAAGATAGCAACTTTGGAAAACTAGCACATATGAAACCATCCTGAATGGCCAGATCACTGGTTGCTTTGCAAGAAAAGACTGCAACACAGGAATATTTTTGGCGAAATCCTTTCTGTGAAGCAGGGCTAAGGGTGCCACCTTGTGTTAGTCCGTGATAGCAAGAAGCACACTTTTACATCTTCCAAAGATGACAGGTTCATTCTTTTAATGGACGTGCATGGTGTTTCCCCCTCTTGTGTATGTCTCTGACATGCTGCCGTAGAATTGCTGGTCTTCATTAGCCAGAACTGTTCTTTCAGTAGGAATATGTTGCAAAACACGGGGTACATACACCTGGAATGGCAGAAAATTTGCATGTTGAACAATTAAAATACTGAGACAATTATGATTTCAAATTCCAAAGTTTTATTGCCAGTACCCAATTTGCTTCCTACTGTTTGCTTTCTCTATGGAGAAGACCTTTCTTCCTCCTTACCTTATACATCACCTAAGACCCTTACAGGCTGATTATATTTGGTTTCCCGTGGGTCTCTTAAACCAGAAGACAGTATTTGACTTCTCTTTCATGAAACAGCATTTCATGCTCTTACATGAATCAATAACAACTATTCAAATGTCAGTGTCGTTGTTGTTATGTGCTGTCAAGTCATCTCTGACTTATAGCAGCTCCATGACTGAAAGCTCTCCAAAACGGCCGGTCCACAACAGCCCCACTTGGCTCTTCTAAGTTCAAGGCTGTGGCATCTTTTATAAATTCAATCCATCTCATATTTGATCTTCCCTTTCTTCATTTACCTTCAACTTTCCCTAGCATGACTATCTTCTCCAGTGAGTCTTGCCTTGTCCATATGATAGCTTCAGTTTTGTCACTTTTGCTTTTAGGCAAAACTCTGGTTTGGTTTGATGTAAGACCCACTTGTTCATCTTTCTGTCAGTCTAGGGTTTTTGCAAAGCTCTCTTCTAGCACGTTTCAAACACATCAACTTTTTTCCTGTCAACTTTCTTCACTGTCAGGTTTTCACACCCATAGATTGTGAATGGGAGAATAATAGTATACATGATCTTGGCCTTGGTCTCCAGTGAAATGTCATTACACTTGATCATATTTTCTAGTTCCTTCACTGCTGTTCTTCCAAGTTTCTGGCTTCAATTCCTTGGCTACAGTTTCCCTTTGAACTGATGACTGAGCTGAGGTATGTAAAATCTTTCACAATTTTGAATTCTTCATTGTTAACAGTAAAGTTATATAACTCTTCTGTGGTCATGATTTTCATTTTCTTAATATTCAGCTGCAGTCCTGCTTTTGCGCTTTCTTCTTTCACTTTCATCAGGAATCGTTTCAAGTCATTGCTGCTCTTTGCCAGTAGTATGGTATCATCTGCATATCTTAAAACATTGATGTGTCTTCTGCCAATATTCACTCCTTCCTCTGATTCTAATCCAGCTTTCCCTATGATATGTTCTGCAATACAGGTTGAACAGATACAAAGATAAGATACATCCTTGTCTGCCACCTTTGCGTTTCTTCATATTCTGTCCTAACAGTAGCTTCTTGTCTGAGACACAGGTTGTGCATCAGGACAATCAAGTGCTGAGGCGCCCCCATTTATTCAGGACCATCCATAGTTGCCTGTGATCCACACAGTCAAAGGCTTTGCTGCTGTCTATAAAGCATGGACTGATCCTCTGAAATTCTTTGTTGCTTTCCAGTAACCAACGCCTCTTCCTTTTCAGAATCCAGCTTGAACATCAGGTATTTCTCACTCCATATAGGGTTTCATTCTTTCTTGCAACACTCTGAGCATCACTTTGCCTGAATGGTAAATTAATGCAATGGTCCTGTTGTTGCCGCACTCTTTTGCATCTCTTTTCTTGGGGATTGACATGTATATTGAACATTTCCTGGCTGTGGGGCATTGTTGTTTTCCATATTTGCTGGCCTATTCTTGTTAGGATTTGGATTGATTCATTTTCTTCAACTTGCTATCCTTTCTACTCCAGGTGTTTTGTTCTCAGAGCAGCTTTTACTCTTTCTACTATTGCAGGCTTTTCTTCATAGGATTCCTCTTTAAAGAAGCATCTCATTCTTTTATTTCTATATATTCTTTCCACTTCTCTTTCCACTTCTTCTAGTCAGATATGATGTTTCTTTGCTGGTCTTTTAGCATTCCAAATCTAAGTCTGAATTTCCCTTTGATTTCTTGGATCTTCTGGAAGACACCTTTTTTTTTTTTTTTGCTCTTTTCTGTTTCTTTTCACTGGTCATTGTAATAGCTCCTTTTTTTTGCCTCCACATGATGAGTCACTGAAAAGCTGCATTCAAGATTCTGACCCTATTTCTGTCACCTTTTGGTTTTGCTTCTCACCTGACCTTAGTAACTGTGTTTCTGTTGTCATCAAACTAGGATGTCATCTAGGCTTTTTCTTCCTTGTTACTATAGGAATGGTCTTTTGGCACTCTTCCCTAATAATAGTTCAGTCCAAATTTCTTATGGCTCACAGTCAATTAAGTTGACTAATGGAAATCTCATCTTTATGTGAATTTTAAATTCCTCAGGGAAATTGCTTGAAGCTATACTTGGACACTATATTCCTGTTGGTGATCTTTTCCAGCTTTACTCTAACTGTTGATATTAAAAGTTCATGGTCACTAACTGGCCTTTTTGGAAGTGAGAATACAGATTTTCCATCTCCTGCTTCCAATAACATAGTCCATTTGATTTCTGTATAGGTCCTCTTGTGATGTCCACATACGCAGATATCTAACTGGTTGCTTGAAGTACATATTTGCAATAAACAGATAGTTGGCTTCATAGAATTCTATGAGTTGTTCTCCTGCTTCATTTCTGATCCCTAGGCCAAACTGCCCACAACAGTAGACTCTGCTTTGTTTCCTACTTTTGCATTCAAGTTACCTAGGATTAGTAGCATGTCTTGTTATGATGTCTTATCAATTGTCTCTTGAACATCTGCATTAAGGTTTACAGTTTCTCCCTCTTTAGCATCTGTTGTTGCAGACTTGAATAACAGTTACGTTGATTAGTTTTCCACAAATTCATATTGATATCATTTATTCAGATTTTGTGTTATAGTCACTTACTGTTTACATTGTCTTGCTTAAGTATTTAGAGCTACTCCACTTCTTCTGAGTTTGTCATTTTCAGAGTAAAATACTTTGTGTTTGTCTGACTGAAATTGCCCCATTCCAGTCCACTCTAGTTCACTCACACTGAGTACTGCAATATTTAACTGTTCCATTTCCTGCTTGATGGTTTCCAGTTTAGTTTGATCATACCTCTCACATTCCATGTCCCAATTGTAATGTGTTGTGAAGCATCAGATTTTCCTTTCACCTCTGTGCATATCAGCCACTACACTGCCTTTCGGTTTTGATCTAGTTGCATCATTAGTGATAACACTATTAGTACTTATCCTGTGTTCTTCCCCAAAAGCTCATTGAGTGCCTTCTAAAGTGGGGGTCTCATCTTCTGTCACAATGACTCATTTCATCATAGGGTTCTCAAAGTAAAAAAAAGATTCAGAAGGGGTTCACCACTGCCTTCCTCTATGCAGTACTAACCAGTTACCTTGCAGAGTTGCTGCTTTTGTGAAAGATTCTCTGCCAGTGCTGCCTTCAGCTACCGCTGCTGTCCAGAAGTTTCTCTGCCCCCATCATCATAAGAGATATTCATTCTCTTCTGTTGGCATGGCCATTACTACCAAATAGGTGGATGCATCTTAGTCTGGTGTCTCTGCTTTGACCATTCCGCCTTGGCTGACCTTGCTGGGAGACCAGCCAAGTGAGACAGTCTGGTCGCCTGGCAACATTGCTGTCAGTTTCTCTGACACTCTCAAACACCCTTGCCACATTAAGCTGTGCATCCCAGAGCGGGGAAACACTGCCAAATGTGAAGACCTTATATACTGTTACTATATAGTGAATATATATTCTAAATAAGTCTTAGTTGGTCCTAACATTTTATATGTAAGGAAAACATTTGTTACCATTTAGGTTCAGTAGATGTAGCAGTACAAACTGATTTTAGTAGTTTAGTGGTTAAAAAGTGGTTTTATTTTTTAATGTAATTTTATGTTTCACTTTATTAGATTGCATGTTATTTTATGTCTTAATGTTATTCATTGTCCAGAGAACTTTAGCTATTGGGCAGTAAATAAATAAAATACTATCTAGTCAACTAATGAAAGCATTTAGTCATTTCAGAATTTTGTGATGAATGCAAACACTTTCCCTACGAGGAATTCATTTTCCCATGAAGAACAAATAATTATTTTTCATAACCACTTACAGGAGATTTTGGAGGTGCTGCTGAAGCTGTATGGTATCTTTTTCCAGTAATCTCATGCTTTGTTTCCTGCAAGTATCAATAGTGGAAAGCCAAATCAGTAAAACAAATTTAAAAACCAAACCTGTCACTTTAATATGACTACACACACATACACATGAGGGAGTGTCTTCCCTCTTAAGGCAAAATTTAAGTACTGGAAACTAAATAGCAAGAACTTGGACTTACTGAAATAAAATACAGATTGACTATGGCACTCATGTCAAGTGCCAAATCCACATGTAACGAAATGGAGAAGACACAGAGACTTACCGATACAACTGCTGTGATTTACCTTATAGTTTCGGGGGCTCAGGTGCTTGAGGCAGCCAAAGCAGGTATAGCCTAGGCAAACTGCAATTGCTATAAGTAGTACTAGAAATGTAAATAAAGTTATAGGTGCTTTAAAACCTAAAATAGAGAAAAACATTTATCAGTAAACTGTTGGAATGGGAGCTGGGAAGAAAGTAGGTTCCAACACACACTGATCCTGAAGCATATGAATGTATTGCTTCCTCTGGAAAGAATACTCCTGCCATTTACTCTAAAAGACATGCCCATGTCCTTGATCTTGGCAACTCGTCTGCCCCATCACCTGTCCACCCTCAGGAGACCCATACTTTAGCCATAACTTTGTCCTAGGTTCCCATTCACTGTATAATTTAGAAATCTAAGACCAGACTCACTCCTCACAAGCTGCATAAAATGTCTACCCTAAGTTTGTCTTCTCATAAGACCATCCATATTTACCTAGTCTCAAAAGAGAGAAAAAAAACAGCCAAAACAGGCAGAGAATTGGAGCTGCAAGAGCCTGATTCACAGCTGCAAAATGGATCTGCTTTTCAAGCTTTGCAGGAAGGAATGCATAGTAGAGATTGTAGCGGTCCACCGTATGCTTCAGGAGTAAATAAATTAACCCTGAAAATAGGAAATAAATGCCAGAGTTACTAAAAAGTATGACAACAAAATGTCTGTATTTTCCATCTCAAAAGATAAACATTAGGATTTCCAGTGATGTACAATATATGAAATAATTTGTAAGAGACTCTTAACTATTGCATTTGAAGAAAGAATGCACTTTATAAGGTTAGATCAAATGTTTCTTTTCCTCACTGTAGACTGGCACAGTATTGAAATATTCTTTTTTCCCTTGGCTTAACTTTAGGAGACTCCTTTGACCTTTCCCCAGGCACCAACAAACCAGCAAAGAACAAGAATGGCATGTCTGTTGGTTCTGGAGCACCAAAAGTGAAAAATTAGTTTGCAAACAAGATAATTTCAACCCTTTTGGTGCTCCATAGCCACTATGGATAGTGGCTCCCTACTTTGAAAATGAAGTTGGGGGCAGTGGGGACTATATGCTGCCTATGGGCTTTCTCCTGGTTTAACCAATAAGAAGGAGTCCAGTGCTGTTTTAAATGCCCAGAACAGCATGTTTGGTTTTTAATGTTTCATTATGAATTTCAATGTTTTCGTTCAGCCGTGCATGAATTTCATTCCTATCAACATTGTAGCAGTATGTGCTTGAGGATCTCGTGAAAGTTGTGATTGTTTATCATTTTTAAAACCACATCTTAAGTGTTACAGAGAGCAGAGCACCTATTCTTTTGATCTTGCCTACAGAACAACAACCTAGTACTGGGATCAATCTTTTCTTTTGATGAATACCATCTTAGCTAACCCAGGTCAGCTGTCAGGAAGCATTGTCCAGTAAAACTGCATCCCATCACATACGAGGGAACTAACAGTACAGTGGTACTTTGGCTCACAACCTTAATCCATTCCAGGACTCTGGTCATGACCCAAATTGGTTGTGAGCCAAGTCAAATTTCCCCATAATGGTCAATGTAAATAAGGTTAATCCATTCTGCAACTATTTTTTAAACTCACAAAAATTTGAAGCAAAGTGACAAATAACAACAAAGATCGCGGCCATCTCCCCCGCCCCCAGCAATCATGCAGGGGGATGGGGGGACATGGGTGCGATCGGGGGAGGAGATGGGCGCGGGCGCGCTGGGGGGGGAGATTAGCAAAAGTTGTGCATGTGCGGGGGGAGGTGGGCACAGGCATGCTGGGGGGAGGCAGGTGCACTGTGGGGGGAGGCGAGCGTGGGCACACTCAGGTAAGGAACACGGGCATAATCGCAGCCATCTCCCCCCACCCAGCATGACTGCGATTGCACCCGTGCAGGGAAGGTGGGCGCGCTTGCGATTGTCACCGAATGCAGAGTTCGTGACCTGCGGCAAAATTTTTATGAAATTTCTGTTCACGACCCAATTTGGTCGTGAACTGAGGTGTTCATGAGTCGAGGTACCACTGTACTTTGCATGTGTACTTAGATGTAAGGAGAAGTGTATTAACAACAATATTACATCATTATTTGTAGCATGCAAGATTTCACAGAAAAAATGCAATTGTACTAATCCTAACCAAAACCCAGTATCGACAGGAACACTGAGATAGCACCAAAGTGACATACAGGGGCATAGGAACCCAAGAAGCTTATACCGGAGCCATATCAGAGATATACCTGAGGTCCATCTAACCCAGTAGTGTCAACACTGACTGGCGGCATTGGTTCTCTAGGATTTCAGGCAGGATTCTTTTCCAGCTCTACCTGGAAATGCCAGAGTTTGATTCTGTAACCTTCTGCATGCAAAGAGTGTGCAGTAACACTGAGTAACACTGAGTCACATCTCCTTCTTTGTATGACACATTTGCCACAAAAATGGTGACCATGGCTAAACAGGACGATAACACTAGGAGCTGTATTATCTATTTTACCAGATAGCTTCGCTCCCTTGGTTTTGCAGGAATAACAGTTCTTTCTCTCTCATTGTTTGTGCTGCAATAGCCTGTGGCCCTCTTTCATCCTCTTTTCCTTAAATCTGTGAAGTCCACAGTCCGGACTTCCTCTTACTGATCTATGTTGACTTCTAAAGTTTCACAGTGTTATTCTGTAACATTAGAAATGTTGACTGTAGAGTTTCTTGTAACAAGTGGAGATAACCCTGTACAAATGCACTAGAGGCAGAATTGGAGACAGCCTTTGAGAAATTGAAATTCCTGCCCGTATTTTAAAAAACATGTGGAGTAAGTTCACCTTGACATTAGTATAATTATACATTTTACTACTCTGTTTTGTTTAGCCTATGTGAACAAAGTCAGCCAGCATCAAAACTTGTGCAACTCATACATTTCTAGATCTCAGTACTATTCTCAAGCCAATCTTTCACCAGAGCTTGTTCCACCAAAAATCCTACTCACTGGCCAACTTACCAAACGGGACAATAATGGGGCAAGTGATGCTGTAGGCCATGACGACTGTGAATACACACAGCGTCCAGGCATACATTGCTCCAAACTCAAACTGAAATGCTTGGTGCTGTAAAAAAACAAAAGGTTTAAATCACATATTGTAAGAGCTAAGATTCCAAAGAAGAACCATGCTAGATCAGAGCAAGGGTTCATCTAGTCCAGTATTCTGTTCACACAGAGGCCAAACGGCTGCCAACCAGCAGGATCAGTGCAACACAAGTGTGCCTAGGTGTACTCCCCCTTATACTGCGGGCAGCCTAGAGCCATCAAGACTAGTAACCCTGGATAGCTTTATCCTCTGTGAATTTGTCCAGTCCCTCTTGAATGCTATCCAAACTGGTAGCTATTACTGCATCTGATGGAAATGAATTCCAAGCTTCGTGCAGAAATACTTCATTTTTATCTGTTTTAAATCTCTCACCTCTCAATTTCATGGGCTAACCCCAGGTTCTGGTATTATGGAAAAGGGAGAAAAAAATCTCCACACCATTCATAATTTTTGTCCTTTCCCCCCTGAACTAAACCATCCCAGATGTTGCAACTTTTCCTCACAAGGGAGTGGCTACAGCCATGATCATTTTAGTTGGCCCTTTTCTGCATTTTTCCAACTCCATAATATCCTTTATAAGTAAGTTGAAAAGCACTAGTCTCAATTAGGGACGTGCAAGAAATCTGTTTTGTGCAGAAAAATCTTCCAGCTTCCTTGACTTCAGCACCTGGGACGCTGGTCCACTTTGCAGTGGTCCAGATTTCAAGTTTCTGGCACGCAAGCCCAAGGTTCAAGGAGCACTCACTGGGAACTGAGCCCCACATGCTGTGCAACTAGCACCTTTAACACATGCTTGCCACTGCTGCCAGTAGCAGTGAGTTGGGAAGGTAGCTGTCTGCCAGGAATAGCAGCTGGAACACCGGCTCAGTGCGCCCCCTTTCCGTGTGTGCTGCTGGTGCTGCTGGCTGCAGCAGCAATCCGGGAAGAAGGCTGGTCACCAGGGATGGCAGCTGGGGACAGTGGCTGGTTGCACAACCAGGTGCCTACGAGTGTATGCAGACTTCCGCTGACTTGACTTGCTTTGCAGGACCAGGCCAAGCATGAGAGGAAGTCCACGTATTCTGGAGGGACAGATTCCAAAAAGGGTTGTCCCAACCCTAGTCCCAGTACAAATCCCCTTGAAACCCCACTGTTTCCATCACTCCAACTGGGAGACTTTTACCGTTTATTCCAATTCTTTGCTTTCAGTTCCTTAACAGTTACAATCTGGAAGATCTCTCCTTTTATTTCATGACTGCTAAATTTGCCCAGTAGTCATAGGTGAGGGACTTTTGTCAAAAACCTTTTGGAAGTGAAGTATACAGTATCTACAGGATGACTCCTGTCCACATATTTACTTACACTCTCAAAGAACTCTAAAAAGTGAGCAAGGCAGGACTTACTTTTGCACAAGCTATGTTGATTCTCTCTCAGCAGGGCTTGTCCTTCTACATGCTTACTAATTTTATCTTTACTATTATTTATTTCAATAAATTTAACTGGGACAGCCATTAACAAGTAATTAATCCCTTGCCCCCTGAAGAACCCTTCCTTAAAAATTAGTTTTACATGATCTATTCTCTAGTCCTTTTGGTACACAGGCTGATCTTAGAGATGTTACATATCTTTGTTAGAAAATTGGCAATTTCATATTTCAGTCTTTTGAGAACTTTAGTATGGATACCATCAAAAGGTAATTTATTAACTTCTGATTTGTCCACAAGGCTGAGAATGTCATGGTTTGACACTATTATTAGGCTCAGTTCTTCAGATACCTTTTGTGAAAAATATCAGTTCAGGCACAGGTATCTGTCTTATGTCCTCTGTTGCGAAGACAGATGAAAATAATTCATTCAGCTTCCATGTAATTTCCTTATCCGTTTTTAGTACTACTTTAACTTTATCATCTTCCAACAGTCCAACTGTCTCCCTAGCAGGCTTCCTGCTTCTGATACATGTAAATTATGCTTTATTGTTGGTCTTGATGCTCTTAGCGTTATGCTCCTCAAAATACTTTTGCATCTTGTATTGTCTGCTTGTTTCTCCTTTCTTCACATTGCTGTTCCCTTTTGTTTTCCTCACTGATAATTCACCTGCCTTTCCTAACTTGTAGCATATCTTCTAGCAGAGCTATTATTTTAATTGTGAGCAACCTCCAAGTATTTAGAGATGAGTTAACCCTCTTGACACTTTCTTTTAACCTTTTACCTGTTCCCTCAATTTAGACAAGTATCCTCTTTTGAAGTCAAATGTGACTTTTGGATTTCCATGGCAATTATCCACTTACATATATATTAGAACTGGTTACACTATGGTCACTGTTTCCAGCTGGTTCTACAACATTTCTATCTTGTATTAGGTCTTGGGAAAGACCAGGTCACCTCTCATCCAGCCAGTTCCATGACCAGCCATTCTAGGGCATAGTCATTTAGGGCACTGAAAAATCCAACCTCTTCTTTTTGACTGGGACATGCATTCATCCAATCAATGACGGATAACCGAAGTCACCGATTATTAGTATACTTCCTCACCTGGAGGATTCCTTGATTTTGTTTTCCATCTCAAGATCACTTTATGCATTCTGGTCTGGAAATGACAGCATGTTCCTAGTACTAAATTTATTTTGGAGTCCAGTATTGTCATCCACAGAGTTTCTGTGGAAGACTTTGCCCCTTTTAGGTTTTCTAGTCTGCTTAACACTGTTTCCTATAGTCCTTCCTACAGAATTTACATCTAGAGATAACTGTATCCCAACAGATTGTCTCCATTCCATCCAGTTTCACCGCATGAACTATATTCCTGGTTTTAAAGAACTCCAAGTCTCTCATTTTGGCTCAAATCTTCTAACATTTGCAACGGAATACCGATACTTAAAGTTCTTCCCCAGATGTCTCTGGTATGTGCATCCTCTGCTATGGCACGTAGGCCTCTTTGGCTATCATATTTTATTATATGTTGGTAGTCTTCCCTTCTACAAATTTGCCTCTTAATTTTTCTGTTGCGATTATACAAATGTTCTATTCAAAGTGATTCATGTCAAATTTCCCATAGAAGAAACCAATTTTTACACATATGACTCAACACACAAATCACTCAACAGTGTAACTAGAGATGTGTTAAGATTCAAGACAACAAGTAACAGGGTCTATTTATTGGCTCACTCAACTCAAAGCAGGGAATCATACTATGCATATAAATCCCCTCAAATGCTGTGGCTCTTGGATGGGAAAACATAGTAATTAATCAAGCTAGTTGTATTTAATTAAAAGACCACCAGAAAAATAGGGCTTCACTATCAAGATACCAAAGAGTCCTGGGATGAAGGCAAGCAGACAAAAAAGGTAGACAGGCAAAATATTGTTGTGCAAACTTGACTAAGATAGAAAACATCCTCAGGTGGTAGAAAATGTTTATACCTGCTTAACATTATCTCTCTCAGCAGAAGATCTGGCTAGAATCATCCGAATGGTATATAACATAAGGCCTGGCAAACGAAGGAGCTCCATTCCATTGCCGATAAAAGATGATGCAATCACATAGTTCACAAAGAAGGCTCCTTGGTCAGGGAGAAAGACACACCTGCAGTAGGATTTTTTTAAAAATACATAAGGCAGGAAGCAACAAACAAACCTCAGCTCAGATCACTTCACCCATCTGGTCACCCAGATGAACATTCCTCCCCAACTCTTGAGATATACCTCCCACTATTCCTTTGTCTTCCACAATGCACAGATCTTTCCAATTACTTTTCTTAGACACTCCCAACATGTTTTGCCAATTATATTCTTTTATGCTTAAGAAAGATCTAGGAATTTCAATGGGTGAATGCTAACTTATCACAAGCAGTAAGCCATGGTGAGTTCATGTGAGCAAAGCAACCCATTTTTGGCCCCCTCCTTCCCAACTGGTCATCCTGCAGGTATCCCAAGGGAGGAATGAAAGTTTTCCCTACTCCCTGCCATGATAGCTAGCCATTTTGGACTCACTGGACCTTTTTTCCTATTCATTTATTTTCTGCAATCCTTCTTCTGACAGCTACAAACAAAAGCAACTTGCCAGCCATTTCAAGAAGAATTATGTAGTTATCATGAGGGACTTCAATTTCCCTGATATATGCTGGGAGACAATTTCTGCCAAACAAGCCCCCCTAAGAGATTCCTGACATACATTGTCAACAACTTCCTCCAGCAGAAGGTAAAGGAAGGAATGAGAGGATCAGCTATCCTTGATTTAATATTAACTAACAAGGATGCCCCTGTGGACAAAATAGTAGCCAAAGGAACCCTGGGGGAAAGTTACCATGCAATACCCAAATTCTCATTTATAAAGGAGACAAAGGTCAACTGCAGCCAAACTTGTACCTTGGACTTCAAAGAACCAACTTTAACAAACTCAGAAAACTGATGAGTGAGGTTCCATGGCAACTTACTCTTAAGGGAAAAGGAGTCGAAGAGGAGTGGGAAATCTTGAAAAAGATTCTCCAAGCACAACAACAAACAATTCCAAGAAGAGAAAAGTGTAGGGGATAAGAGAGCAACCCCCGAGGCTCCACAAAAAGTTAAGGGACAACCTGAGAGAAAAAAAAGAATATGTACAGGAAGTGGAAGCAGGGCCAGGCCACAAAGGAAGAATATAAACAAATAGCAAGGAATTGCAAGGATGCCATCAGGAAGGCTAAAGTAGGAAATGAACTGAGAATAGGAAAGGATGCAAAGAACAACACAAAAACCTTCAGTTACATCCCCCCCCCCAAAAAAAAAAAAAAAAGACAAAGAGATAGCTGTCCAGCTATTTAAAGTAGATGATAGCGTGATAACAGATGACAAGGAAAAGACGGAGGCACTCAATTCCTACTTTGCCTCAGTGTTCTTCCACAAGAAAATCTACATCCAAATCAACATCTTTATTAATGATTTAGATGAGGAAGTACAAGGAAAGATAATTAAATTTGCAGATAATACTAAACTATGGAATAGCAAACATCCTAGAAGACAGAATGAAGATTCAGGGCAATCCTGATAAACTTGAATGCTGGGCTGAAAGCAACAGAATGAGATTCAATAGGACAAGTGCCAAGTCCTCCACCTAGGAAAAAGAAACCAAATGCATCAATAAAAGATGGGGAATATGTGGCCCAAGAGAACGGAAAAAGAAAAAGACCTTGGAAATGTTGTGGACAACAGGCTAAACATGAGCCAACAACACAATGCAGCTGCAAAAAAGTTAAATGCTATTTTGGGATGCATTAATAGAAGTATTACTTCCAAATCACAAATAGTAGTAGCTCCCCTAGACTCCTCACTGGAATACTGTGTCCAGTTCTGGGTACCAAGATTTAAGAAAGATGCAGAAAGATTAGGAAGGGTCCAGAGGAGGGCAACAAAAATGATCCATTGTTTGGAAATGCAGTCCCATGAGGAAATACTGAGAGAACTGGGTATGTTCAGCCTTGAGAAGAGAAGACTGAAGGGGGACATGATATCCCTCTTTAAGTACCTCAAAGGCTGTCACAAAGAGGAAGGTCAAGATCTCTTCTTGCTGATGCCAGAGTGCACACAGAATAATCAATTCCAGTTGTGACAACCCAGATTCAGGCTAGATATCAGGAAAAGTTTCCTTACTGTCAAAGCACTAGGACAGTGGAACCAGTTGCCTAGAGAGGTGATAGACTCTCCCACAGTAAAGACATTCAAAGAGAAACTGGATAGTCATCTGAGTGGGATGGTAACTTATAACAGCAGGGGATGGACCGGATGCCTTTCTTGGCCCCATTCCAAATCTAGTATTCCATGAATCCTCTCAAAGTGCCAGAGCAGCAAGGTTACCCAGACTTTTTAAAAATGTGCAAAAAAGTGTTTTTTTTAATTTAGGGGCAGCTATGTAACCAGGATAATACTTTTCCCAGGATCCCCACAGACACTCCCACACATCTCTAAACATCCAGATTTCTATGAATACAGCCAAAAATGTTAGGAAAAAATAATGTGTGCAAATATTTGCACTATTATTGGGGGCACTGTTTTTAATGATGGTTGGACAACCACGGGTAGACACTGCAGGGTTCTGCTGGGGCACCTTGAAGGTATTGCTCATAGCTGCCAAAACAAGGATCACAAAAGGCAGCTTCACAGTCACCTTTTACATGCTCCAGTGGAAAACAGAAGGGAAGACAAGTGGAGGTAAGCTGATTTGTGACAGGGAATGGGGACATCTGGGATACCTATGGAAAGACTGAGAAAGAGAAGGAACGATCCACAGTAAGTCCAATCATCTGTTGGGTTCAGTATAGATTCTTCACACAACCACCACTTATAGCCAAAGCAGATTAGTGTGAAGTGTAGCTGTATGCATTGTCTCGCTCCATAAGCTGAATACTGAGATCTGCAATTGTTTGAGAGATCCCTAGAAAATTACATATAAAAAAGAGCAATTACATCTTCTTGGAATGGCTTTTATATGCAGTAGTATTAGTTTTGTATATTGCCGTTTACTGCAAATTGGTTATGAAAGCCTTTTGCACAGATTAGAGAAAGGATTAGGCAGCAAAAAGATAAAAAGGATCTTTAAATACTTACTCTAATCTAATTCTAGATTTAGATGCTTTGTCAAACACCCAACGAAAGAAGAAATCCAGACTGGAAGAAATGTTTGGTATTAGTCTAATTCACTACAGAATAGGACATGAAAACAAAATGGCCATTTTTAAAGTACATCATTTAATAAGTATAGTTACTGTTTAGTTTTGGAAGTTTATACAGAAAGTTATGCATGCCTAAGGGGCATAACACACATGATGCAGGAAATTACCCATTTTTATGAAGAACAAACATATATCCTCATTTAAAGGCAGCTGTACAGGGCTCCAATTTTTATTAGAGCCCTGATGCTGGGGAAGCAGTGTCTGGACCTTTCTAAGCATGATACAATCTTCTGATCACAATCACGCCTTAAACTTGCCCCTCTAGATAAAAATGTACTTCTTAGCAGCTGGGGATTATTTTGATTGGGAAAATGGCATGGGGGAAAAGCTTATCTGATCAAAGCTGGTTGCCATTTCACAGCTGATTTTAAAGTTATATATATTAAAAAGTTATCAATCACTTCAGAACCACTATTTTGGCTTTAATACTTATTTAAATTAATGAAATGCAGTTGCTTTTCATTTGTTTCAATGTGATTTAAGTATCATGGCATTCTAGAGAAAGCTATGAACAGGATCTAATAAGAAGACATGAGTACTACATTGCTGGTGACGCAAAATGGGATTTAAGCAAGCAAATAACTTAAAAGTGAAAGGAGGGGAGTTCTGTGGTTTATGCAGAGATATTGGAAGGATTCAAATCTACCTTCCCTGCACAGAAATACTACATTTGCTTGGACAAATACTGAAACGATAAAAAAGGCTAAAAATAATGTTTCAACACAATATATTCTAAAAGAAATCTTTGTAACCTTAGCTTGAAAGGTAGATTCTAATGTGGTCTTTACCTGGTCAAACCAAGTGAAGGCAGAATTAACACCATGAAGATCAAAAATATATAAACTTTGTGCATCATTATTCTGTGTTCACCAGACCTGTTAAAAAGAGAATAAATGATCATGTGTATTCACAAACATGGTTCTTTTGTTTTCTTTTGACCCTGCTAGTTCTGACACAATTTATGGCAATTTCAACATCTGGAAATACATTGTTTCTGGTTTTGCTTTATTTGTTCCTTTAACTATGCTGCTCTCAAAATTCTAAAAATCAAACAAAGAGCTGAGATGCATGCCAATCACCCAATCTGCATTAAGCATGTAATTTAGCTACCAAGACAAATAATAAATGCCATAAGCAATCAAAAGCATAGTTATACTTCCAGCAGATTTACTTTAAAAGCAAGCAGTCCTTCAATATATGCTTTCATAAGTCAAGCACGAAACCCAATTAGAATATTTACCAAAGAAAAACCACACTGGATCTTATTCTTTGGTCACCTAGGAAACAGAGCAACTTCCTTAAAATTCAGTAAGAAGATTTATTCAATTAAAGGAGAATGTCTTATAAGAAATAATATAACCACTGCCTTTCAGCATATGTAAAGTTAAAATCAGTAATTACTACCCCTTTAAAAGTTGCGGAATAGAGTTACTATGACTTGCAGTCTTATTTTCTATAAGGCATTCTTTCCTTTCACTCTCCAACAGAATTTCAAGATCTTTAAACAGCTAAAAAGGAAATTAAATGTACTCTTACTTTGTCCAGTGCAATTCAAACAGTGTTGAATAATAGACAATTGTTGGGAGCAAAGCTGAAAAGGACCACAGAAGGACTGTTGGGAAGAATTGGCTAACAACTGGGTTCTGGGGGGAAAAAGAAGAGAGAAATGTGGCCTTGTTCTATACAGCCACCATGAATGCAACTGAGCTGCAAGTATGTTATTATTACATTACATCTATACACAGCCTTTTCCCCCTTTGCAATGAATCCAAAGCGGCTTACAAAGTTCTACTCATTTTATCCTCACAACAGCAAACTGTGAGGTAGGTTAAGCTGAGAATCTGCAGCTGGCCCCAAGTCACCACCAAGGTTCACAACTGAGTGCAGACCAGAACCCAGATCTTCCTAATCCCAGTCCAGCACTCTCATCACTGACTCCCCATATGTGTTATACTGGCTTTAAGAATTATAACCCACTGAAATCTGATTTGCCTTGTAGAAGAACGCTGAGATAGCAGCTAGAATCTGGCAAGAAGTCAAAGTTAGGGGAACAGGTAGACACAAGGCCAGAGATTTAAGATTAAGAAGAAATAAGGGCTTCTGAATAAGCAAGATCCGCAAAGAAGTGTGTGGGTCCTCTGCAATATTTATTATAAATTTTTATTATTTAAAACTTTTGTATGCTGTCCCTTATGCATGGCATCTCAGGACGGCTTACAATAATTAAAACAACAACAATAAAACAGCAATAAATAACAATTAACCAAAAATACAATTAAATAAGTTAAATAAAAGTGACTGTTAAACATTAAAATTTAAATTAGTTTTTTAAACAACAGTTAAATGAAAAGGTTTAATATGCAGCTATGCTATTTTCAAGAAGCCTGAACTTACTACAGTCTTGCATGAAACTAGTGTGGTGGTTAGAATGCTGGACTGGGGACACGGGAGAGCCGAGTTCTAGTCCTCATTCGGCAATGAAACTCACTGTGTGACAGGCCAGTCACTCACTCTCAGCCTAATTACTTCACAGGATTGTCGTGAGGATAAAATGGAGCTTTGTAAACTGTCCTGGAGCTTACACAAGCAAAAAAGTGGGATATAAATGCAATGAACAACAATAACAACAATCCCTAGCTTTTCATAAAGCTAGAATGAAAACTAAAATATATGCCAGCCTTAAGGTACATTCTGTCAGGACATTCATTTATTAGTAGTACCTGCATACTGCTTCATATAACGAAGTATCTAAGTGGTTTACATACATAAATACTAAACGTCATGTAACAATAGAAAAATCAAATGCAGTAGTGTACAAAAATCAATTGCAAGTCAAGAAATACATATGTAAACAGGTATATTTCCAGGGGGTGCTTTCAGTTCACAATTTGTGCCTCTCAAACCACATGAGAGAGACCATTCTATCAGGGGAGTGTTAGTCCAGTGAAGGCCCACTTTTGAAACATCACTTGATGCCATTCTATTGGTTGCAGAATAACCACAAACGCCCCATTTGAGGATCTTAGCTGGATATGTACCAAGGAAGGCAGTCTTGCTAAATATCCTGATCTCAAACTGTTTATGCCTTTATATGTTACCTATGAAGCTATGATCAAGGATCTCTTAACAGACAGCTCTTTTAACACAGCTGTAACCTGTATATGGCTGGGTGCCTTACCTAGCATTTTAGCTGCACTATCTGAAGCTTCCAAATAGGTGCAAGGGCAGCTTCACACAGAGCATATTACAGTGCTCTTATCATGAGGTTAGTGGTGCATGAACCACAGTGATTAGCCAACCCTATGCAGTAATGGGCAAAGTTGTTGCACCAGCTGTGTTGCCAGTGGGCATGCAGAGCCACTGATGTCACTTGGGCTTCTAGTAACAAAGAAATGCCCAGGAGAATCCAAAAGTACGGACCTGTTCCTATGGAGAGAATGAAAGCACATCCTGAACAAGGACGATCCATCCATAGGGTCTTTATCTTATCAGGATACAGTTTATTAGCCCTCCTCCAGCCCTTGGCTGAATCTGGACACCAGTTCAGAACATGCATGGCCTTTGACTGAGACACTACAGAGAAATAGCACTGGATATCATCCCTGCACTGATGACACCAAGCTCCATAGAAGATGACAACATGAATATATAGGGGGCTACTCACATTAAGATAATGAATGGGTTTGGTTACATTGAACTTGTCCATTGTGGAAATGATAATGGAGGGGGTTGTCAGAAAAAAGAGCCCACAAAAAAGCAACAAATTGATGCAAAACCACCGAAACCACCATTTTGGCCCTTGAACTGAGAGATTATTCCTGTCAAGTAAAAACACACAACAGTCAAACATGTACAGTTTGCAACAGTATTCATACATGACCCATTTGTTTAAAACAAGAAGGTGCAAAGCAATAGAGATGAGAAGTACAGTGGTACCTTGGCTCACGAACTTAATCAGTTTCAGGACTCTGGTCATGACTCAAATTGGTCGTGAGCCAAGTCAAATTTCCCCACAAGGTTCAATGTAAATAAGGTTAATCCGTTCTGTAACCATTTTTTAAATCATAAAAATGTGAAGCAAAGTGACAACAACAAAGATCGCAGCCATCCGCCCCCCTCCAAGCCCAAGCGCAGCCATCTCCCCGCCCCCCGCCAGCATGACCGAGATTGCACCCATCATCCCTGCAGGCGCCTGTCATCCTGGTGCACTGGGGGGGGTGGGGGGGGGGAGACGGGCGTGATCGCGGGCGCACTGGGGGAGGGTGAGATGGGTGCAAACGGTGCGCTGGGGGTGGGGAGATGGCCGTGATCGCAGTTCTGTTCATGCAGGGAAGGCATCCGTGATCAGAGGCGCACTCCTGCAGGAAAGACAGGCAGAATCTCAGCCATCTCCCCGCGGCTCTGCTTTGCTGCTCCCGTCTTTCCTGCAGCCGTGAGCCTCTGATCACGCACACCTTCCCTGCACGAAAGCAACTGCGATCCATGATCAGAGGCGCGCGGCTGCACGAACGACAAGCAGATTCTCGGCAATCTCCCCCGCGGCTCTGCTTCGCTCACCTGCCTTTAGTGCAGCCGCATGCCTCTGATCACGCACACCTTCCCTGCACGAATGGAACTGCGATCGTGGCCATCTCCCCACCAAAGCGGTGTTCGCGACCCAAGTAAAAATTTTTCAGTAATTTTTGTTCGTGACCCGATTTGTTCGTGAGCCAAGGTGTTCATGAGCTGAGGTACCACTGTAAGTATGATTTGAAGTACAGAAATAACAGGCAGATGATGCTTAACCATTTTCCTCACCTTAGCCCTCCCCCTGAGCAATGACGTAAGCATGCATTGGTGGAGAAAAGATGGCAAGACAATTTTTATTTTTTTAAATTTTGTTCTGAGCACTGGGCTCACCAGGTGAGGAACTTTATCAAGGAATAGATGTACTTTTATACAAGCTACAGGCCAAAAAAGTAGGACATAGATTTTCTAGCTACAAGTTACTTACTTGAAAGAGAACTTAGTACTTGAAATATATCTGGAATCTCTATTAAAATTAGCTTTGCACCATGCTGAATATTTTACCGTTCACTGGGTTAGATTAATTCCCATAGGCTTACCCTTAGCATGTGATCAATTCAATGACTTCTTCTTAAATAAGGCTCTGCATGCACAAGCTTGACAAGGCTCTGCATGCACAGGGTATATGCACTGTTGGACTTCCCTTGAAAATGCTGCAGAAGGTTTATGAACTGGCTTCAAACCAGTGTTTATTTTTACTTGAGTAGAGTAAGATGGTATTCTTATTCTTTAACTGGCGACAGATTTCATAACTAAATAATGTGAAATCCAGCACCGCAATAGTGGGTTTCCACTAATGCAACAGGACTTTCTTCCTCTCCCTGCTTCCTTTTGCATTGTCTGAGCTCTTCTCTACATGAGGGATTTTACCACTGCTTAACTGAGGCTTCTTCCATATTCACTGCAGGACAAAAACCATTGATCCCCCCCACTCCCCAGAACTTTGTATTTCCTCTTCCTTTCTATACATTCTATTTACCAACCACAAGATGGTGCTGAGGTATAGCTGCAGTATAGCTAATTTGCAACTTTCCCAATACTTTTATTCCAGAATTTTGCAGTTCAAAATTTAACACCAGACTTTCCTTGCTCTAAAATATCCTGCTAAAAAGGCTAAAAGACACAGAAAAGTCTCTGGGGAATGATAATGTTACGAAAGGACCCAACAAACTTCCATGATTGTGAAGGATCACAAGAGCACAATGAAAAGCTCAACTTCAAAGCACTGAAAATCTGTTCAGGAGAATTTGTGTGCAGGGGAGAAGGGAAATCATTTCTTTCCCCTGGCTTCAGTCAGAAAGGGAATACCACTACTGCATACAACCCAAAATATAGGAAATAGCATTGAAAAGTTAACTGATGTTCTAGAAACAAACTCAGCCTCCTACTTCCGTTATTTTCAAATATGAACTGAGGGAAAAATTCAGGCCCATTACCAACAAATATCCTCTGGATGGGTTGCATATGCAGCACTCCACTTAGAAATAAAGAGTTCTTTACTCCAGGTTGATGGCTGGGGTTCTCCTTTACAATTACATCCTTGACATTTACAGGCATTGAAATCTTTAAGAATACTGCAGTAAAATAAAATATTTGAGTGTTTATGTTTGGAAATACTTAATATGCACAGAGAAAATGCAAAGTAAGGGCAGCCAATACAATGCTGGCACATTCCTTCAATTTCACATAACCAGAGTTTCACATAAGTATTGCTTTTAAGAATAAAGACTGTAGATACACAGAGACAAATTATATAAAAATAAGATGATTCTATGCCGAATATATGAGGGAAATATTTTTTATTAAGTCCTTTAGATAAATGTTGTTCAGACAGAAAAGCTTTGTTGTCAGATTAAGACAAATCAGCCCATTGTCAGCTAAATTATTTAGAATGAATACAGCTGCCTTCTGGTTTCCTGTGGAACAACAACCAATTAATTATACTGGACTGTAAACAGTGATAGTTCTGTGGTTCATTCTACTGAAAATAATTCAACTTTGGTAGCAATACTAAAGAACTTACTGTGTTGCCATGGATTTCTCCTTCAATGTTACAAAAACCATTCCCAATGGCTTATTATGAATGATTTCTTCTTCTTTCAAATATTCATCCAAATTTTTATTGGAAACCTTAGTATAGTAATCTATAGCATCCTCCTGTTGGACAGCAGACTTGTGTTAGAAGTCAAAATTGAAACTGCTCAGTTATTTAACATCTTCTGACATTTGTGAAATAGTAGCAATCTACTTATCCTAGCTGGAAATAAAACTTTTTACTTTCAAAATATCTGCAGTTAAATACCAGTAATACCTGTTTTTTCTATCACATTCCAAGAACAGAACACAATAACAATGGCAATATATCAGGCTTCACATTTGTTATCAGAAGATAAAGCAAAACAGAAAAAAGCCTCAGATACATAGTTTATGACAGGATTCAATGTGGTCCAATAACCCAATAGAGATATTTCCCCCAAAAGAGTATTATAAATGAGAAATCACTTGCACTGTAATAGTGTTAACTCCTGCATCAAGATGAAACCAAGGCAGAGCACAATTAACCCTTCAAGTACAACAAATGCTTTGTAATTATTTTGAATGTACAGAAGTTTTCTACGAAATCAAAACAAAATTTTCTATTGTCTTTGACAAGCTAAAATTACATATAATTGAATTTAAGAGAGACACAAAAAGCTGATATTTTCCTTAGACCAAACAATTAGCAATTTGATTTTTACAGTCACTGTAATAGGGAAAGCCTAGCATTTTTTTACGCTGGAAGGGGAGAGATGAAACACCAACATTCTCAGAAATGAAACTAGGTCATTAATCATTGTATACATGGGGTATGACATGGTTCAGGTTTGCAAAAAAGTTGTTTGTTTGATTTTACAAATATTTTAAACAGCTGCTGGGGTACACAGCAACCTTAGTAATACGTTACTGAAATAGCATTATTTTCACTTCTTATAGACGTATCCTATTTTAAATAGTGACTAATACAAACATAGTTTTCTATGCAAAGTTTTAACCAAATAATGCAACAGTTACTTACTCTTTCACAACCTCTGATGTCACAACAGCAGAAATGGCCACATGGTTTTGTGTTTATGAAACATCTTTTACCAAGCCTCTGAAATATGTCTGTATAATAAGCCACATTTTTCATTGCCTTCTTTCTGAGCACAAACATAAAAGTATTGATGATGGGACAGTAGATTCATTGCCACAACTGGGTGTGTCTAATACATTCAAATTTTTAAAAGTTGGAGTAATAGAAGAGCCAAAATACTTAGACATATATATGCTAAACATTTTTAAGATATGTATAAAATTATGGCTACAGAATCAGGCAGCTACAATGTATATAAGCTTCCTTTTAAGGCATGTAGTTGATCAGCAATAATGAACTATATATAAAAATGCATTTGAGGAGATCCCTCAGGTACCTTTGAGGGTGTTTCCATGAACAGGTGCTTTTATTGTATTAAAAATAGTTGAAAAAGGAGAACTAGACATGATACAGAAATAGCAGGGATACTTATACACTGTGATCCCTGTGCAATTCTCTACTATGTTTTTATCCAACCTTTCCCCAAGAAGCTCAGGGAGGCATATACATGGTGCTCTCATTTTTCCCTTAACAACTTTCCTCTACAGGTGGCAAGACTGGCAGCTGGACTATCTGAGAGCTGTGGGGAGATCTATAACTTCCCAAGACCTCATCTATTTTGTTATGTTTTATGTAAGTCACTTTGCGGTCTTTAATAGCCTGGGTTTATCTACTCAAAACAAAAGACAGGAAGTGGCCAGAAATATCCAGTTAGCTCCTTGGCTTGAACAGAGATTTGAACAAGAGAGTGACACATCTAAATTCACCCATTATGTGAGTTTTGCCACACATACCTTATTGCAACACGTCTCAGCAGCCAAGAGCCATATTGCAGTCAGCAAAAGTTATGTGGTTATCTTACACTGTGCATATACTGTACCTTTACAGTCACGCAACAAATGAAATTAGCCTACTGCAGAAAGTACTGCAGCCATTCCCCACCTGAAAATTTTTACTCAAACTTTATTAAATTCTTATTTATGCGAAACGTATTAGTATTTCATTTGTGATTCTGCAAAAATCACAACATCAGCCTAGAATTTAGGATTATCATTACCATAGGAAGCATTTTGCTTTAGACATATTTTAGAACTGAGCTAATAGGGCTTCATCAGGCCATTTTTTTCATCCAAGTACCTCTCTTTATACAGGTGAGTGAGTTTGGCCACATCATAACATATCTGGACCTCTTCCACAGTGCAGGATGGATAGGCTTCACTGCAAATGAACAAAATGCCTACATCACGCAACAGTCCATCATATGAGAACAGTCAGATTTGCAGATAAAAAGCATAACATATTTTGAAAACAACCAAGTGCAAGAGGCTTTCATAAACTACTCATTGTGTTTCAGCTACTGAGTGGTAAAAAAAGTAATCAATTAATTTAAAAAAAAAAGAAAATCTATTTTTAAAAACTACTTGCTCAACTGATTACAAATAAGTTACAAGCATGCCAAAATACAGTTGTTCATGCTCTACCCCACCCCAGCTGTTTTTGTGCTTTCTTTTGGGTAGCTGGTGGGGAGGACTAGCCTCATTTTCCAGAAAATGCAGATGAGGTTTCCTCTTATGTGGACAGCCCAGTGGTTCATCCACCTTCTGCTGCCATTACACAGCACAGGTAGGACAGCCACTAAACTTAAGATCAACTTTGAGATAGGTTGACATAAATACCTTGCTTTACATACAAATCTTGTTTTAAAATTAGTCATAGGATACTATTTTAATACCCATTTTTAAGCATGCTTAGACCACAACTCAGAAGATTATGGTCATCCAGTGCAGTATGAGGGAAGTGATGGAGCTGATCTCTGCCTCCCACCTCTTCCCACCCTGCAAGTAAACTAGATAGCTAGTTTTGGCAATCTAGCTGTAGAGCTTTCGAGAGGCAGGGAAGGGAGCTGGAGTACCATTAGGATATCCTGTATCCAGGCAGCCCAAGTTCTCTTCATTCCTTGCCCTTCAGAACCCATTCACTCCTTCTGTGAGGTCACTCCTACAATCCTGGAGGCACAGCTGACTTAGCTCTTTCTGCACTTGCTATGAGGGGGGAACAGGATCTTAGTGTGGATCTCCAGCTCTGAGGTTGGAGCTCTGTTTCTTTCTTTTGAACTAGGAGTCTAAAGAATCCTATGGTCTTCTAAATGCTGTCCAGGGGCCATATGTTCACTCTCCCCACTAAGATTAAACTGCAAGGACCTTTCATATTAATAAAGGCATTTTTAAAAACTTACCGGAAGTGATTTTCTATGGTTGACTTCTTGGCATTTTTGGGAAGTCCATTTATAAACAATGTGCACCTTACCTGAAAATCAAGAAGTATCAGTTTCTCAGAGACAAAGAATTAGAAGAGCCAAAGAAGAAAATTGGTATTATTTAGTTGTGCTCTCTTCAAACACTCTTTCTCTCTCCAAAACATATATATACAAGCACACGTATTGAAGTTTGTTTTTATTATTTTTACCCTATTATCGTTTTACCTCTCCAAAGGATTGGGGTTCAGGCTGTACTGAAATCTGATCCACTAAACAAGATATAGGGAATGCTCTCTCTCTCTTTCTCTTTCTCAAGTTCAGCAATTGCAGCTACTCAGGAACCATGTAGGCAATCTGATGACTTCATAACAATCAAATCAGAGTGAAAGGCAAAAAGCACTGTTTTCAGTCTGAATAGATGCCTTGATGACACTACATATGGCCATCACAAAACCAAATCACCATTAGGGAAAAATTTGCTGCCTTTGCTCTGAATGGGCAACTATTTCACAGGCTTTTCCCCTCCCTTTCTCCATCCAAACTCCCTGCCAAAATAGCTATGTAAATGTACTATTTGTCAGTGGGCAGTATTTCACAACCATTACCTCTCTCAGCTCAGCATGTAAGCAGCAATAAGTATTTATTTTAAAATACAGAAACTTACTACGCCTTCTTTGTGTTTGACAGATCTACTGTGATGTCTCATAAAGATGACTGTCAACATCAGATAAATAATAGCAAAAATTATGTGGAGCCAGAGAAGGTTGTTGCTGTGGAATATAATGTTTCAGAATATTAGAAGTAAAATGACTGTGTAATATTTCCATAGATTACTATTCAATTTACAACCATTCAATGAACAAGAAGATAGGAAAGCAAGCATAAGGTTAGCCAACACACACTTTAGAGTTTCTAGTTTACATATACAGGACCTAGGTATAAAAGTATACATGCAACTGTCTGTCTTAAATGAGAGGTTTGGCTATTGGTAGGTTTAGAAATATATTTATAAATGTGGTTATGCAGCAAATTTAGGATGCCCTTATATATTTGTCTATGTCTCTACTCAATTTTTGGAAATTCCTGTTTATTTTACTTATTCAAACCCCTAAGTCCCTTGCACAACAGTCCAAATCATTCAGCAGGGAGCTCTGGCCCCTGCAGAAATCTTTGGGGAGTTGAATGGGGCAGGGAAATCAGTTTCTGCAAGTTCCCTTACCTGCACTTTAACCTGGATCCAAACCACCGTGTGAATTTTTAGCCAAATTACTAGTAGATATGTTAAGTTGCTGAGGGTGCAATACATACTTAAACAGAGAAGTCCTACAGTACCCAGCATTCCTCAGCCAACATGAACCTTGCATGTTCTGAAGACTGGAAGGCATTTAAGTGGGAGGTATACCTCTTATTTCTTAGTTTAGAGCATTTCAAAGCTAAAAAAATTAACCTGAGACAGATTTCCATATTCCATTTTTAACATCCACTATTGTTAGCAATGCTATTACATTTAGGAATAGGTGTCTCAGGATACAAAATTATGTATTTTGGTTCCTCTGAGCTCAGAGCCCAGATTCAAATAAGATCTGCCAGCCCACTCAGTTTCTACCTCCCTACACTAAATTACTTTACAGTGGATATAAAGAAAAGGCATGCAATCTGCCCTAAAATGCCACAGCAGTGTCTCAGGTACATTATCCTTGTTGGAATTATTAAACATCTACAATAAAGAGTCTCAGAAACTCAGGATTAGCCATGAGGATCCTGATGCCTAGGCAACTGCTGTACAGTGGTCCAGCGTATCGTGGAACCAGTGCTGTAAGATTCTTTGTTGCCATTGCAGGTACATTTTTTGGAAAAGGAAAGAACACTTGAGTCCTGTTGTATTTCCAATGACATCCAAAATAACCTTCTGTGAGGGGAATCGGGATGACTTATTTCCAGATTTTCTGAAAAGCAAATTAAGTATGCCCAAATCTATTCCAAGTCAAGGCAGAGGTACTAAAATGCCATGTGGCCACCACATCTTGCTACCCAATGCATGCTATGATTTATTCTGCTATATGACAGGAAAACAAACACCCCAAATAGAAAAATTAAGGAACAGCCATGTGAGAAATACAAGGATATAAGATGCAACACCTTGATGATTACTTACCCTGTTTGTAAGTTTGCTATAGTTGTTCTCCCAAAGCTATAGGGGTCTTTATCTGATAAAAAAAACAATATATAAACTTTTAATTCAGTCACTGCAAGTAACAAAATACTTCTGCACAAATAGTCTGTGTTCATATAATATTGCAACCGCTTTTTACCATAACAATATTCTACATGTTTTTTTAAATGTAGCTGTAAATGCATAACACAGATAGTGCATTTAGAACAAGGACAAACTCCCTAACTCAGATAAAGATCATCCAGCCATGCAAAACATATGGTAATCAAGAAGAAAGGTCCACTGCTGCTCCTATACCAAAATCCTCAATCATTCCTGCTGTTGAAATGAGCATATTTGCCTTGGGTCAGTAGGAATCTCCTGACAGACAGTGACCTCAAAACAACTCACTATGGGTGAAAAAACACGGTTAGTGGTCATGTTGTGTACGTTTCTGTGGGTGCAAAAATTGGAAGCCTTACCTGGCTAACATTCCAGGAAGGGATTCCTGTTGTCAAAATACAGCCGATATCAATCAGGGACACTGATTCAGAAAAGCTTCTAAAAAGGTCGCTTTTGCAGTTTGCTTTGGCTTGACAGCAGTCAAAAGGTAAGTTGTCAGTTCCAAGACACAAGTGATTAAGTGATCTTTTTTGCAAAAGGGAATACAGAGTTTTATCCCCTCTTCGTTTTTTGCCTTGCTCTCATAGGTCCTAGTTCCTCAAGTTTTCTACTCTTTCTTGAGACTATAGGTACTCAGGAAGATGGAAAAAAGAAGCCCACACCCTTTTGCCAGAGCATGGAGGTTCAGCAGCAAGTTCTCAAAAGTGCAGTTCCTCTAAAAGAAGAGGGGTTTTATTACAAGCCTCCTTATAATTTTTTCACAGAGACATATGCAGGCATAAATGGGGAAAATAAATTTTGACAGCTTTCATATATGTAAAGAAGGTTCTGGTAAGTCAAAGGTTGCTTTTTGTTTGGGATGTGTGGCTATATATATCCCAGTTTGAAAACCTCCAAGAGAAATTGGGGGACACTTTTGCACTGTTCCAAGCACCTAGAGTCTCAGGAAAAGTACAAACAGTATCTTAACCTGAGGTCTGTCACAGTGAAGAAGGAAAAAATTATGAAGATCTTGCTGTTGAAGAGAGGATAAAACACGCCAGTTCCTTTTTTGTGACAAAAATCACTTACTCCTTTGGTTTCTCTTGACAGCTGTCAAACCCCCCCCAAAGGGGTGGGGATGGGGTGGGGGGGAAATACTAGTCTCATTTGAGCAATGAACAGAGTATCTGTTGCAGCATGTTTCCTCCCCAACACCCCAATCAAAGCTGTTTTAAAAAAGTGTTTCCACACACTGTTTCGCTAATTTTTAAATAAATCAAGGTTTAGTTGGCTGCTGGCAGATCCTCCAAAGTGTCACTTGGATACTTTGATGGAGCTGCCAATGGCTGTCAAAGCTCAGAAAAACATAGGTAAAATGCAAAAAAGCTGTGGCAAGCTGGAGACAGTTTATGTTCTTGACAGGAAGGAAGAAGAAAAGTTGGTCCTTCCATGGTGTCTTCTGCAAAAAAAAGCAGGAAGGCCAAGGGGAAAAAGAGGGAGAGGGAGAGGGAGGAGGCCAACGACCTACAGCAAGCTTGTTCAACTTTAAGACAGACTTTGGGTTTTTTGACCAACAACAGGGTAGGGTGGCATGACTTGTGAATATGCCCAGTAACTGCAAGTAGAAATATAAAAAATGATAGGTTTCAGCTTTCTTAAAAATACCTCTCAACAAGAAATCTTGATAGTAAGATGGTTTTCTTAATTTTACTGACTTCTTACCTATGACCTCCAGCATCATAAGTATTGCATGAAAAGAGACATAAATTTTAAGTTCCACTTTCAGTTCTACTGAACATACTGTGCATTAAAAGAAGACTTGCATATGTGATCTTAATAACCCCTTAACTTTTGAATCTACTCACATGATAGGCCATTGTGAATTCAAAGGGATGAAAGAGGCCTTGCTCACTCATTTTTTTTAATCATCCAGAGATAAAAGACTCTTTAGCTCAGTGCACATTGTTTTTGTTTTGCAGTGACTAAATTCATATATTGACAATACCAAACATAATGAACACAGGGCCTAAGCAAAGATTACTGGTTCAGGTTGCCCTGGTTTAAGTACCTCAGATAATACGAATTTAGACACATTAACCACTCACAGATATATTTTTAAGTATGGTTAATGGTATATAAATCTATCAAATAAATTATGAATAAATAATGTGATTCTAACATACATAGCACAGAAGTATCCGGCTACTGAATACCAATGAATGCCAAGCACATGGATGCCTGCACACTCACTTCGCATGGTACAGTAACAGGTCATCCATCATGACAGATGCACTACATTCAATTATCATACTATCTAAGCCACTGTTTTTAACGAGGGTTTTACCAGATGCCCAAACTCTTTCATCCTGAAGAGAATGTAGTTTCCTTCAATAAACTACTGAACTGATCACACCAACCACAATTCTTATTTAAAAAACAGTGGTGAGCTCTTCTGGATCCAACAGCTGTTGAGAGTGACACAGAACACAAACAATCCTTCTTCAACATTACCTCACAGGTAAATTGTGGGAAATGGCAACTCAGTAGTGGACAAGCTGGAGCAAGAAGTGGGCAAGGCCGGCAGCTGCCCCTTCTTCTTCCTTCCCATGCAGCAAGCTGACAGGGAAAGGTCAGCTCTCTGCTGCCAGAGGCCAGAACTGTTCACAGATGACCTTTGAATTTAGGTTGAAGACTGCACAAAATCAGGCTGAAGGCACAGCTCTAGAAGTGCAAGTTATCCAATCTTGCTCTGTTATAACAGTTTCTTACCAAGTAAGCCACCTGATAAATTTACAGGAAGAATCACGCATAAAGACAACATGCTGACAATAACCAACAGGCAGATGAGATGGCGCTGAAAGTGGAGATAGATAATGGCATCATTTCCACATCTTTCATGAATGTCTTCATCGCTGCACCACAAATAAATGAATAGGTCAGTAATCAAGCTTTATAGGACAGAACGTGCTTAACAGGTAGGCAAACAATATATGTGGCATAGCAGTAGGCTGAAACCTGATCAGTCAATTCTGGTATAGTGGTATCATTAAAGCTCACAAGGCATAACAACTAATCCTGAAAGAGCTACATCGGTTACCAATCTATTTATGGGCACACATCCACTCATTAAGTTTAAGCCTGTAAATGTCTAAGGTCTTGGATAACTTAGGGATTCCTCCTTTCTATATCATCCTGTTGGTCCATCAGATCTAAAGGAAGGGCCCTTACTTGCATCCCTTCTAGAATAGGAGCACGTTTAAGTAGAATAAGAAGGTCTTCTCAGTGACTACACCCAGATTATGTAAAATTGTGTACCAAGAAGCAGAATCTGTCCTGCTTCCATTTTTTCAAAGTTACTAAATACAATTTTATTTTATTTTGTTGCATACAATGGATAATGTTTTTGTGCTTTAGTGTTAAGTGCTGACCCTGCTATACATTGCTGTTTTTAATGACTTTTTAAAATGTATGCCACCCTGAGTGATGCTTTACATTACAAAGGAAGGATATAAATGTTTTAATAAAAACAAACAAAACACAAGGCAGTCAAGTCATTAAATAGCAAAGAATGATTTCAACAGTCCATTAGAATTTTAAGTCCCCTTTTTCTAGAAGAAAAGTAGGTCTTTAGATATGTGGCTTTTCTGTGAAAGAACATCAGCCCTAATCCTCAGTCACTGGCCAGTAGACTTTGCTGCAGAATACAAAGCCCACAGGAGAACTAAGGTTCTTTCTCACCCAAAACCATTACATTGACAAGTATGGTTTCTATCATTAAGAAGAATGCTACAAATAATTATAACTGGAAAAATAACAAGATAACTACAGGGGTGAGGAACAGCAAAAGCTTTTTAAAAGATCTTAAGAACCCTCATTTGGAGCCATGTTTTCCATGGAGCCACATTTTCCTTTCCATGATCCCAATAAATAGATGAGGACCCTTCCTAAGTAAATTGTTCTTTAAGGGATGGTCTCATCACTAAGAGATGATGATGTTGAGCTATTAAATGGCAAAAAATGAAAGGAATCTGCAAGTCGTTTTTGAACAACGTGAATTATATTTTAAAAAACAGAAATAATACAATGCTAGAAAATAGAAAAATACTTACAATTCCCAGCATTGCTAGCTGAGGAATTCTGGGAATTGGGGAATTTGCTTATGCCTAAACATGCACAGGATTCCACTCCAAGAGTTTAGATCAGCCTTGCCCAACCAGATGCCCTCCAGATATGTTGAATGACAGATCCCATTCCCCACCCCCAGTTTTGGGTGGTGTGATGAACAGACCAACACATCTGGAGGGTACCATGCTGAGAAAGGCTAGTTTAAAAACTCATTTTAATGTTATTCCAAAGGTGTGTTTGGACCAATAAACTGTCATCTATTTTTCTAATCATAGTTTTATATTCTTTATTATATTTTATGTATTGATTTTGTAAAATGTATATCCTAGCTTACGATCAAGTCAGTTCACAAAAGATCAATTAATCCAATAATTGCATATATAATACATTAAATATTAAAATGTACAGCATTCCATTTTCATAATTCCAAAGAAACCAAATAGTATTAAGCAAAGCATGTGAAAAACAGCAGTTAGATCATTGCTGTTCTGCATACTTACTGCATTTGAAAGGCAGATGCCATCCAAGAACAGAAGCCCTTAAAAATAAGCAGAAATATTCTGTAAACACCCAGTGGGATCCAGAGAATCATTATTATAACTGCTGTTGCAAAATTAAGTCTCCCCTCTCCTCTTCTTAATGCAGTTGCATATGACCCTGAAGAACTCCTTTGGAAGGTTGGGGGACAGTGCAAAATGGCATGAGATTTCACAAGGGGGACTGTAACAGGGAGACTGTCAGAAATCAGAAACTACTCCTTTCTCCTTTGCATGAGAAATACCTGATACCTACTCTACCTTCTCTAAAGGAACAGAATAATCTAATATTATAATATTGGGCTGGTCCTGAAAATTCCTAATAAGGTTATGGCACCAAGTTTCAGACACCTAAAGAAAGTACCTAATGTAATTTGAACTATCTAAACAAAGAGAGATCAAGAAAGCATAGGGACTTTAGAAATATCAAATTGTGCTACAGTTCTGTTTGTTCTTTGCAGTGAGATACCAAGAGAGAGTAGGCAGCTCGTTTCAAATTTTGCATTCCTTATTTAAGCTGACTGATCCAAACAGTGAGCAAGCTTTGTGATCAGGAGGGTACAAGAACTTCCAACAAGAATGATGAGGTTCATCATTCACTGATCACTCTACTGCATAGCCACAAAATTTTCTTAGGCTCACATACTAACCACAATACATAGGAAAGTAATTTCCCTTAGAAGCTTGCCAAATTGGGAGTCCCACGGATCCTCACATTTCCTGAGTTAAGATTCTGAACTAAGGACTACAAGTGTGACATAGAGATTAGAGTGCCGGCTTGGAACTTGGGAGACCCAGCTTCTAGTTCCCGTTAAGCCATGAAACCCATTGGTTGACTTTGGACCAGTCACTGACTCTCAGTCTAACCTACCTCACAGCATTAATGTAAGGATAACATAGAGAAGAAGGAGAATGATACAAGCTTTCTTAAGGTAACAGAAGGACGTCAGGGAGTGGGATAGGGGCTGCTGGAGTGACATTACTTTTGCAAAACAAGTGGACAGCTAGATAGTCCTCATTGCTATTCCCTAATTGCAAATATTTGATGATGATCATTTTCAGATCTTAGTAAATGGGTAACTGAAAAAAGTAAAGTTGGCTTCCTTAAGGAAAAAAATGCTAAGCAAGACTACAGTTCTCCATACAGCACAACTACATGTGCAATTAAAGATAACATGAAACAATCATTAGAAAGTTACTCCCAATTTAAATAACAAATAGCTATTCAATTTTGGGTACATCATGAGAAGGCAAAAGTCCCTGGAGAAGACAATTATGCCAAGGAAAGTAGAAGGCAAAAGAAGAAAAGGAAGACAAATATGAGAAGGATGGACTCCATAAAGGAAGCAGCTACCTTGAATCTACAAGAGCTGAACAAGGCTGCCATGGATAGACATGTTGGAGAACTTTCATACATAGGGTCGCTATAAATTGGAGATAGCTTGATGGCACATAACATTCAACAGATCACAGAAGAGTTCTACTTTCTTGCATTAATGCTTATATCTCAGTGATGTTATTTTAGAGTGAGAGAATTCCTAGTTAATGCTATGTTTTTCATATGCAAAAATATTATGCAAGTGCATACTGAACATTTCTTCAAAATACTGTTTGTCTCCTTATTTAATGTAAAAGTTCAAAGAAAAAAATACCCCCCAGTTATGCAAAAGATCCTGAAAGGACTAGAAGACATGCTACAAAAGCAAAGGATCCCATATGAGTGCACACATGAGAATATGGAACTGGTTTACAAACAGGCACTAAATGAGGTAACCCCAAATGCTACTAACCTCATTAGGATCATCCTCATGACCAGTACCTGTAGATAATCTGTGAAATCTGGAATCACTAAAAGATAGAAAGGAAAGTTTTGGGATCAAAGCCTTGGGATTTTATGTTAACTATTTCTAAAGGCTTGTTCAGAATGCCCTTAGAAAACTGGGGAAAGGGAATGATTTCCCACAATGCAACACAAATAAGTGTTTAAAGTGATGTAAAGCTCATTGTAAGTTTACATAGAGAAAGGAAGCAGTCAGTTAACAAGCACACGTTACAGTACAGACAAAACAAGAATGAATTGTTAATATGTAGGATATTCTAACGATTTCATTTTGTGGATTCTCACTCATAGCAATACACAATACTTTCATTTCCTCTTATACTTTGCACTTAAAAGATAAAACTCCTAATTTTAATATCCCTCCAATGATTACAGGTCCTCATTTATGAACTTTCTTCGGACTCTCAGTAACCACTTAATAATAGAATAGGCATTATCCTTCTAAATACCTTCATCAATTTATTTAAAATACTTTTATCATCTAAAGCAGTGGTGAACCTATGGTACGTGTGCCCCTGCCGGCACGCAGAGCCCTCTCTGTCAGCACACAAGTCAAGTCACCCCAGCAGTCAAGCATCGGATAACAGCGCTCATAGGGGCCATGCGCATGCTTGGAAAAAAGTAGCAGCGCCAGGTGATGATTTCATGAGCCACAACTCATTAGCCATCTGAGCTTTCACATGGCTGGTCAGTGAGCTGCCAAGGATATATATATATTTGCTTGGACTGGCTGTGAGTTGTTTTTTCTAAACTAAAACCTCAGTATTCAGGTTTTATTGCAGTGTTGGCACTTTGCGATAAATAAGTGGGTTTTGGGTTGCAGTTTGGGCACTTGGTCTCTAAAAGGTTCATCATCACTGATCTAGAGACTCCACTGGAGTTGAGGGTGGCATATAAATGCATTACTAAATAGAACATTAATATATTTTTATCATTTACAAAAGTGTCTTGTCAAGAGTTCAAATATATTTAAAGGATTTCTATTCATTCCCAATTCAGCAAATTATATAAATCAGTTTCACAGTCATAAATTCATAAAGACAGATATTACTGAACAAGCCTTAGTTATTTAAAAATTTTAAACATAACATACCTATCCTCTACAGCAGGGACAGGCAACTGTGAGGGGGCATTTTCACCCACAGAACCCTTTCTCCAGTGAACCAAACTCTACTGAGTATTGTGTACTCTATCAAGCACTCCCTACAAAAATGGTTTTTAAAAGAGGGAAAAGATTTGGTGGCAAGCTGCTCTGTAGTGCTATAGCGCAGGGGTCCCCAACCCCTGGGCTGTGGTACTAGTCCGTGGCCTGTTAGGAACTGGGCCGCACAGCAGGAGGTAAGCGGCAGACAAGTGAGCAAAGCCCCACCCACAGCCACTCCCCAGCCCCAGCCCACACCACCAGGCACCAGACCTTCGCAAGGAGCGCGCAGCCCAGATCTCCTGTTCCTATGAGAGTGCAAGCCCTGCTGTGGTATGGGCTGTAAACACCACTGCAAACCATGCATCCGATGGATCCAGACTGCGTGCTCCCTATGAAAATCCAATGCCTGATGATCCAAAGTGGAGCCAAGGTGGCGATGCCAATGCTGGGGAGCAGCTGAAAACACAGATGAAGCCTCGCTCACCCGCCCACTACCTGCCCGACGCTGTGTGGCGTAGCTCCTAATAGCTCCCACCGATTCTGCACGATGGTGAGTTGTATAATTATTTCATTATATATTACAATATAATAATAATAAATTGCACAATAAATGCAATGTGCTTGAATCATCTCAAAACCATCCCGCACACCACCCAGCCTGTGGAAAAATTGTCTTCCACGAAACCAGTTCTTGGGGACTGCTGCTAAAGAGCACTATAAAGTGCTCTACATTTAGCTGGCTTCTAAAATACATGCAACCCTTTTGGTGCTACATGGCCACTCTGGATAAATTTTATTTAATGATCTGTGGCGATTACAGCAGGCCACATGCACGCTGTGGGCCATGCACTGCCTATATTCAGTGCTGAACTTAAAAAAAGCTAATCTGTTAAACATCTAACACACATCCTTAGCAGCAGGTATCCCGCTTTATTGAAATACAAGTAAATGCTAGATGGCACCCTAAATGGCACCCTAAAAAAGTTGATCATCTGATGTTTTGGACTACAGCTTGCATGTGCAGCTATGGTAAGGAACGCTAGGAGCCAAAGTCCAAAACATCTAGAGCGCTAATTTCTACCCACCACTGCCCTTACCCACTAAGCAAGCAACAGACACCATGGTTAGTGTTTTCTGCGTGCATGTTTCTTTTCCTAATGCATTTCCTACCTGCTCACCTCTCTAAAGACTAAACTAGACATGAGGCTAAATGATAATTCTTAAAAGAAAACTGTTTCTTTTCATTTCATCAGAAAATGTGGTGAGGAAGGTGTCAATTTTTATATGTATCACAATGCACAGAAATGAGATATTTAACTCTTTTGTCTCTTTCTGCAACCCTGTTAAAACTACATCCGATATTGATTATTGATGACACAATTTCCAATAAGACATTTTGAGTCATTATCTAGTTTGGCTCCCAATTCTTTTCCCTTATGTTTCAAATGCTTATGAGTGTTTGTGGTCTGTGCCAGCGCCCAGTCATAACAAAACACTATACAATTAAACAGCTTGACTTGTCTCCTCTGCACCTGCCTATGTTCTGTGGGGCTCATCAGGGTTTGGTGTACTAGGATTTGACATTCATGTTTTGTATATGTTTACCTCTCGTTTTCTGATACTAGTGCAATGCGACCATAATCCCAGAATCTTCTTCTAATAATGGAAAATATCAAAATTATCACCTAGGAAATAGAAAAAGGAATGTTAAGTTTCACTGTCATATCACATTGTAATGTTTGACTATTACATATTAAACTGGTTTCAGATTTGACATTTGCAAATATGAGATTCAGTACCAAATTTATACCTAGCACATATATTTTGGTGTTTGATGTAAGTTTTCATTATTAAAAGAGTACAGCATGTGCCACAAAGGGAAACAAATCCTTAATGATATTAATATCTCAAGAAAAACTTCAGGCAAACAATACATTGATTGTCACAAACCATAGCTGATACTCCAAACCTCAAGAAATTGAAAAGAACCATTTGGAATCAGTGTTGCAAATTCTTTCCATTCCCTTTCATATATTGTTCCTTTGTTGAGTCATGTCAGACTGTAAGGACAAAGTGGATTGTTGTTGGAAGGAGCTGTTCTCCATAGTGCTTGCATATACCTCAACAGAATGAATTCACCCTTCTTCAGATCCCCTTCTGTGAACTAGGCTATTTTGTAAGGGAGGGAAATCAGACAACATTAGAACATTAATAAAATGCACATACCAAAAAGCAAGTTACATCAAGCAGCAGAACAGTAGGAACTCCACCAAAAGTTACACCTTGAAGCACAGTACTTTCCTGGGCAGTACTGTAGCAGTAGGTCCCATTTGGAGTCTCAGTACTTCCAGTTTTATTCCAGAAGTAAACCAGATGTGAATGTCCCATATCCAGAGATAAAGATGGAATCATGTTGTCTCACTTAGAAAGACAGACAGACAACAGGGCAATTACAGCAGGAAGTAAACATTTATACAAATGACAGGAAAAGTTACAAATATTGCATCAAGGAAAAGTAGGATTATTTTGAGAACAATCACTTCCCATTACTTACAAGTTTTTGCAAGAGTTCAGTGGATCAGACTATAAACCTTTGTTAACAAAATATACTTTGGTACAAGAGTCCCACTTCCCTGTTCTAAACAATTCAGATCCAAATCTGAATTAATCCAGATTAATCCTACAGTAGGAGAAATATAAATTTGAAAAGGATATTTGGGTTACTGAGTCCAATGCCCAGCTCATGAATCCACTTTAAGGCATCCCTGACAGATGCCTGTCTAGTCTTTACTTGAATGCCTCTAGTGACAAAGAATACATGACCACTCTAGGAATTGGTTCCTCTATCTGTCTACTCTCATATTAGGGAGTTTTTCCAAGTTCAACTGAAATCTGCCTCCTGTAACTGAAGCCCATTATTTTGTGCCCTAAGGTTCCTGAATTACAGATAATAGGTTGCAGACCTCTTCTGTGTTCCTTTAGGTGCTAAAGGTGCTGTTTTATTCCCTCCTACCTCCTAGTTTAGTTTTCTCAAGGCCGAATATATACGGTTCTTTCAATTTTTCCTTGTAAGAACCTAGTTCCTAGCCCCATGATCATCTTTGTTGCCTTTCCCTGAATTTGTTCTAATTTATCTGAATGCTCAGTAAAGTGAAGTGTCTAAAAGTAGACACAGTATTCAAGTTGAGGTCTGACCAGTGGACAGTACAGTGGAAACATTACTTCCAGTAATTTTGAAACTATACTTCCATTGATACAACCTAAAATTGCATTTGCCATTTTGCTGCCACATCGCACTACTGACTTATATTCAAATTGTTATCAACTACAACTCCAAGACCCTTTGCACACGTAGGCATCTATCTTATACCAATGCTTTTAATTTATTCTTACTGAATGAACACTTTTTTGTCTATGAAAACTTTGCACTCTGTTAATTTGCATTCTGTTATTTTCTGCCAAGTCCTCTAACCTATCAAGATCATGCTGTTTCTGTCTTCTAATTATTAGCTATTGCACCCAATTTTGTGTCATTTGCAAATCTGACAAGCATTACCCTACCTCTTTCTCCAAGTCATGAATAAAATGTTAAAGACATTTATAAAAAGAAATTACAAAATAAAAGTCATTAATACAAATGTTATCCATCTAACTCTAACCTTAACCCTATAATATTCAACTTGATACCTCTTTCTAATTTGATGAAAAACTATTTAAGATTTTTGAGTATGGTTCTCTAGCCAGCTGTTGAGCCACCTAATAGTAATACCATCCAACCCACAGCTAGCTTACTAATCAAGAAATTGTGGAATAGTTTGTCAAATGCATTGCTGAAATCAAGTACATTTTGTCCACAGTATTTGCATGATCAATGAAGGAAGCTACACTATCAACAAATGAAGTGAGATTAATCTGTCATAACTTTTTCTTAATGAATCCATGTTGATTTCTAGAGATCACTGCATTAGTGTCAAGGTGCCTATCCATGTTTTCTTTTTGGTTTGACAATAGGACTGACCTTTTTATAGTTAGGAGTTCAATATTTTAAAGATACTGAGCACTTGGTATGCAACAAGGTTAGTTAATTATGCCAGTGATTTTGCTTCACAATTGAATCCTTGGAGTAATAGTAAACATTTTGGAGAAGTATGGCGCTACAGTAATTATGCTCCTGTGCAACCTGATCGCCTGGAAAAGGTGAGTCTTGCCTCTGGTTTAATGAACTGAGAAGCAAACAGCAGCACAGTATAGAAGAGGTAGGCAAAAGCATAGGCCAGGCTCAGTGACCTGGTTGGGAAATAATAACAACCTGCAGGTTAAGCAACTCAACAGGTTGTTGTGTATGAATGCGAGCAAGCAAGCATGCTGATTCTGGCATGCTTCTCACTTCTGCTTTGGAGATTATCTTAAAATGCCAGTCAGCATTCACAGAGTACAGTCAGGTACCTGTTCTACTCCCACTGCTCCACTAGAAAAACATTCTGGGGAGTGGGGGAGCTGGTGGCAGCAGCAGGATGACAGAGAGTGGTAGAGATGGTAGTGGATAAGCAGGTAAAACGGTGGCAGTGGCGTCTTGCAATGCTGGTGGACTGAGAGATGACAGCAGCCTGCAGGAGAGGAGGAGGTGGAGATGGCCATTGGGTGAGGGTGATGGAGGTGGCAAGGGAGCTCTTGCCCTAAGGACATCCTGAAGTCTGTCACTGGTCCCGTATCCATACATAGGCCAATCAGGTAAGATGAATGCAAACAGGAACTTAGCATTAAGGTACTCATAGAAACAGACTAGGTAGCTCAAAGAGTCAAAATTTACATTTTCTTAAGAGATGTTACTTAAAATGATATTTACAATTGTAATTTCAATGTTATTTTACCTCAACTTCCATTCCTTTGTCTATAGCAGTGATTTCCAAATGGAGCATATACATGAAAATATGTCATCTACATAGGACAATCATTTATTGTGCTCTTACAAGATTCTACAAGGTTCAGCTAGATTCCTGATAGTAGCAGTTTCATGATACATCTGCAAGCAAATTAAAGGGTAATCTGTTTAGATGAAACTTTGTCATGTCACAGACCCATGCTAAAATGCTAAACGTTACACTTATGGTCACCGGTAAATAGCAGAGATTATTTTAATCACATCTGTTATTTCAACTGCATGAACCAGAAGGCCACATTCCATTAAGCAGGCTTACTTTAGCTGTCAAATAACAGTTCCACTAGAGAGTGAATACAGAATAACAAAACCTCTCCATTTTTGAAATCTTGATTTTCCTTGAAAAGTAAACTTCAGGGAATTGTAAGCCCTACAGAGGGCAGATAAGAGCCAGACATATCCCCTGCTACTGGTAATTGCTGAGATGATATGTAAAATTGCAGACATTGCCCAGTATTTCCTCATAGAAAGGCAAAATAAGGAACTTACAGACCACAACACTGTGCTTTCTTAATATTTCTATCCGCCTTGAGAGAGGTTCAGAAACTAAAGATCACAGTGCAAACTATGTCATGATATTCAACCTGGAAATGCAAATATGGGGAACTGTTATCCTCAGTAAGGGAGGGCATGGGGTAAGCAGGTGCAGGGGCTACCCTATCAGAAATAGGAGCAGAAATAAAAAGGCCTAAAGTTGCCTTTCTCTCCTCTCTTCAAATTGTAAGTTTGGCACCTCATCACTGCGTCTTCAGGCAGTCAGGAAAGCTGTTGAATGTCTACCTGATCTCACAGCTGTTAGGAAAAGTCTCTCGACCGGGCCCAGGGGGTTGGGAAGTGGCCACCCTAAAAACAGCTGTGCAACAAGCGCTGGTTTAAAATAAGAACGGGCACGTCAACCTTACGGGAAAATCAGATGACTAAGAAGCAAGCAAACTAGAATATGTACTTTAGAGCCTCAAATTCACCTTGTTGCGTTCAGCCCAGAAAAGGCACCTCTACTCAGAAGAGGTAGCACTGAGAAGAGGAAATGACTTGCCTGAAGTTACAGGGCTCCCGGGCTCCCGGAGGAGGGTTCGGGGGCTCCAAGGCCCCAGGCACGCAGCAGGCTGTCCGCCCTCCGTGCGCGGCCACTGTAAGACAGCCGGAAGCCGCGGTGAAGAGACTGGGCCAGAGGCGGTGCAGGGCGGCGCAGCGAGGAGGCGCTCTACCTTGCCTGCCCGCCCTCCCTGAGGCTGGCTTGGAAGGGGACTGCAGCGCCCAACTGCGAGCCCCGCGGCTGGTTGGCGCTCGCTTTTTCTCCCGCTTTCCGATGGAAAACTCCGCGCGGCTGGCGCGGCTTCTTCTGGGCAAAGAGAGGGAGAGAAAGTGAGAGTGCCTGGCCGGCTGACAGACAGCGCTGGACGAAAACTTTTCTCGCGCTTACCCCTAGCCTGCCTCCGTTCTCTTAACCGGCTCCTACCGGTGCTCTTAGCCGTGCTGCAGGTAACACAACGCAGACAAGGTGTGTTCCGCCCGCTACAACGGGAGACAACCCCGGGCAAGCCCTAAAGGCGCGCATGCGCGGGAATTGCCCGGACCGGGTAGGAGCCAAATCTCCCCTTCAGGGTGAGTTCCTCTGGCGGCCCAAGTTTCTGCGTCTGAGGCAGGCTTGTGCCTCAGGTCGCCTTGAAATCCTTCTGCCACGTCCACATAACCCTTCCTCTACACACATTTGATGGACAGTCTGGTTATGTTTTCAAATACGTGTTGAACTATAATTCTCATTATACTTGTTGGGGGCTTATGGGGGTTGTAGTGCAGCACATCTTGGAGGGCATGAAGCTAGGCAAGGTTGTTCCCACCTTTCAAATAAATACCTTTGGGCCTGTGCAAAGATTCAAGTATCAGTTATGTCTTCCCCCTTTCCAAGGTGAAAAGCTCAGGGGAATATACCTGGTTAGGTCACATTCCTTTAATAAACTCTTTGGCAATAGAGCCTGACTGTGCGGTTTAGTGATGAAGGTAAGTCATTCTGCACATGCTCAAAGACGTTCTGTTATATATGTTTTAGCTGAGCATGATTCTGGGTTCAAAGTAAGCTCAGCCAGGAGGGAAAGTCTTTTGGTTAAAATTAAAAGTCAAAATTGTATTTTGAGATAAATCAGTTGTAGATAGATTTAGAAGAAAAATATTTAAAGGCTTTTATGGCATTATTGGGACATAACCTTTCATGAATTAGACAGAGCTTCTTGCCACAGAAATGTAAATTAGTGTTATCATTTGTCACATCAGATTTTGCTGCAAGATGGGCTGCTTCCGTTTCCTATCTTCCTGTTAAGAAGAATATTAACACACAAGAATGATCTGAATTGCTTTTCAAGTCAGGTCTCCTCTCCTTTCCAGTACCTCTCTACCCATGAGGATGCCCTGTTTTTCTGACAGGTTGCCATGTCTTTAACAGCTGAATGGCAGGCAGAAACTTGGTAGATATGCTTTCTTCTTTACAGCACTTCCATTCCGGTTCTTGAATATCAATTATCTATAGTCTGGTTTTGGGGAATAGGTCTAGTGATGCCTGGAAAGTTCCTTAAATTTCTTTTGCTACCATCTCTCTCTGGTCATTTGACCTATTTACATTTGCTCACGTCATGCCAAAGTTATAGGTCTAAATTTGTATTATCTCTAATTACCAATTTAATACATTTTTCCTTATACTCCATATGAATGGCAGGTATACTGGTTAGAATTATCCCATAAGCAAACATACTTCTTGGGCAGCGTTCAACTTCGCAACATCAGGCTGTCTATAGGGAAGAAAAGGCAGGCACTAGCTCTCACTGTAACATATAGCAGAAAGAGGAATTACGCTGAAAGTTGAGAGAGTGAATTGTGATCAGGAAAGACCTTGATTCAAAACTTGCTTTAGGCAAGAACCATGCAATCCTATGCATAACTGTCCATTAATCTTAGTGGGGCTTACCTGAAGTAAGTGGAAATAAGATTCCAGGTACACATACTAGGTGGCCTCAAGGAAACCACAATCTCAGCTTCACCTGCTCATTCATAATTATATCATAGTTATTAGGGATGTTGTAAGAATTATGACATACTGTACATGAAGCACTCTGAACACTAAAGTGCTGTAGTTGTTGGTTGGTTGGTTTGTTTTGATGCAAATTTGTGCCTGACCCATCACGACCCCATGGACAACATTCCTCCAGACTCTCCTGTCCTCCACCATCCCTCAGAATCCACCCAAGCTCACGCCCACTGCTTCAGTGAGTCCATCTAGCCACCTCATTCTCTGCAGTCCCCTTCTTCTTTTGCTATCAATTGTTCCCAGCATCAGGATCTTCTTCAGTGAGTTGTTCTTTCTCATTAGGTGGCCAAAGTACTTGAGTTTCATCTTCAGTATCTGGCCTTCTAACAAGTAGTCAGGGCTGATTTCCTTTAAGATTGACTGGTTCGATCGCCTTGCAGTCCTCAATTCTTCAGTGCTCAGCCTTCCTTATGCTCCAACTTCCACAGTCATACATTGTAACTGGGAAAACCATATGCACTTTTGTTGGCAAGGTGATGTCTCTGCTTTTTAGTATGCTGTCTAGATTTGCCATAGCTTTCCTCCCAAGGAGCAAGTGTCTTTTAATTTCTTGGCTGCAGTCCCCATCTGCAGTGATCTTGGAGCCCAGGAAAATAAAATCTGTCACTATCTCCATTTCTTCCCCATCTATTTGCCAGGAAGTAAGAGGACCAGATGCCATGATCTTAGTTTTCTTAATGTTGAGTTTCAAGCCAACTTTTGTGCTCTCCTCTTTCACCCACATCAAGAGGCTCTTTAGATCCTCTTCACTTTCTGCCATTAGAGTGGTATCATCTGCATATCTGAGGTTGTTGACATTTCTCCTGGCAATCTTATTTCCAACTTGTGATTCATCTAGCCCATGATGTGCTCTGCATATAAGTTAAATAGGCAGGGCGACAATATACAGTCTCGCCATACTCCTTTCCCAATTTTGAACCAATCGGTATTTCCATGTCCTGTTCTTACTGTTGCTTCTTGACACACATACAGGTTTCTCAAGAGACAAATAAGATGGTCTGGTACTTTGCCACAATTTGTTGAGATCCACACAATCAAAGGCTTTAGCATAGTCAATGGAGCAGAAATAGATGAAATTCCCTAGCTTTCTCCATGATCCAGCGTATGTTGGCAATTTGATCTCTAGTTCCTCTGCCTCTTCGAAACCCTGCCTGTACTTCTGGTAGTTCTTGGTCCACATATTGCTGGAGCCTAGCTTGTAGGATTTTGAGCATAACTTTGCTGAAAGTGCTGCATAAATACTATTTATGATTCAGTAATCAAATAAGTGCCTGCTCCCATACCAGCCTGCCCATTCTTTGAGGCAGGGGTGGGCACATTTGGAATGTTGGTGGGCCATGTTGGCTACTACAGAGCTCTGTGTGGGCCACACCAGCCCAAGCTGCTGCCATCAGAAGTGACCGCATGCATCCACGGGTGCATTAGGCACTTGTGGGGCAAACTCCAAGGGTGACTCCAAGGATTTTGATTGGGAAAATAGCATGGAAGAAAGGATGAAATATGCCTTCATGTGTCACTGCTCAAATCAAACTGCAAATCTTTCAATAACAACAAGAAGCAGAACAAAATAATCACAGACGTCCTATTAGCATTTAATAATCGTTACTTGGGAGCAAGTGCTGCCTTTTCTTGAAGGGGAAAGAATTAAGATACTGATAATTGTAATCACAGCTTTTGAGTGTTGAATTTAACAAAGTTACACATCCCTCCGGCACTGTGATTTATTTGTGCTGGTTGATTACAAGTTCCACTTCAAGGTCAGTCTCCAAAGTCTGGTGTTTATTGAACCTATAGTTAGCTGACATGGCTCACAAGGAAAAAGGCTTGTACATTCATCTCTCTTCTATCAGTTTGGTTGCTGCATTTTCTCAACGATGCATAAGTGACAGAACTTCCATAAAATTGTCTGTTTTATTTTTGCTGTTTGATCTTCTCTTGTGTATTTTATGCACATTTAAAAAAAAAATCAAACCACAAACACAACTCTTGGGACTTACATACTTGGTCATAAAAGCTGTGGGACACTCAGATTATACCACCACAGTCACAAATGCCAGTTTAGCGTTATTCTGAATGACAGTACAACATAATAATGTTTTACTATTATTGGTAATTTAAAGTAGGGATGGGAGAAAGAATAGGCTGTGTGTCTGGCACCTCCATGGCTGTTATGAATAGTGCTACCAGCATCCATACCACAGCACAGACTGCTATGAAAGTACTCTCTAGCTGCTTTAATTTTTAACTTTTTAATTTCATATATTAAAGTACTTTTACATATTGCACTTATATCCTGTACATGGTCCTCCTCACAATCCCCTGTAAGGTAGGTCCAGCTGAGATTCAATAACTGACCCAAAGTCACCCCAGTGATATGCCTGCAATACTAATATAACTAAATATTGTACAAATTATAGTTTTGAAATGGTAATGAACCCAGTCTTTAAAAAAATGTGAACAGTGCAATCTTACCATCCCTAGATTGTCCAAACTTGGAAGCCAGTCACCCATTACAGAGTGGGAAGAGCAGTGAAAGTAAGGGCACCTTGGAAGAGGAAGGAAAGAGGTTGCAGAAGAAGCAGGGAAATTGTATCCTGGCCTCTACAGTCTCAGCCCCTTCTTACCCATTTCAACTCTTCCTTTTAAACTCTCCCTGCAGTCACTTTGCTGATGGACCTTGGAAAAGCATCAGTCACCGTTCTTTCTGTGTTAGCTGGGGAGGGGTAGCAGAGCTTGACTTTCTAGCTCTGAAGCCAAAGCTTTATTTTCTGCCTCAGAGCTGTGGATTCAGAGTATCCGCTGTTGCCCCCACACCC